AAATTGCAAATTCCTCGCACATGTAACATCTCCATTGGGCCAAAATGCACCGATATCAATACCTCATATGTTACTTGGTTCCTCGAAAATTCTCCTCTTGGACTTAGCCTAAAAGTGTGGACACTTTTTAGCCTCCGGCGAAACCTAGAGTCTATACGGCTTCGCCGCACGACTAAAAAGCTATCAAAAAGAAAACACTCACTCTTGCCATTGCACTCTTGTCATGCGTGAGGAGGACTGCACGGCCCGTCTTTGGAACAATTACTCTAGCCAATTCAATTAGAGATTTTTTATACAGGCCACGATTGAGGAATTTGTTGCCCATTCGTTTTCCAAAAGGCTAGGATTAAAAGCAAAAGTTAACATTGATTAAGTCTCTAAAATATATATTGGTAGAGGGGACTTGAAAAACAAAGTTTTATACATTTTTTACAAGTATCTGTTTATTTGATTTAAAAATTTCTTTACTTTCCTTCAAAATTTTCTTCTGAAGAAACAGAATTTCTTTTGAGTTAAATTTATGTTTCTTGGAAAATTTAAAACAGTTTTTTTGTTTTAATAATTGAAAAAGAGTCTTCTTAACTCATTTGTCCTTAACAAGGCAGAGGTGGATAACTTAGAAAACTGAACTCTAATTTTAAAACTGAACATGGGAAAAAAGTCACATACACTTAAAGAGAGTGCAACTTACCAAATCGGTGATGAATACATCTACAATAGAGTCTCTTAAAGGCAATCTTGTACAGTCCCATTGATTGACATCAACAGGAAAACCTGGAATATTCTTCTTCCGATATAAACACTGGAGATTATTCTTTGTTCGAACCACAGCTTTATCGCTGAGATCGCCAGAGAGATAAAAACTACTTGGAAATCCAAAGCAGCCCTGTGACAAAGAAATTTAAAATTGGAAAGGAAAGAAATAGAATTCTTGAATCTACAGAAACATAAGATGGAATCAAACATACCTACAAGATCATGGAGTTAGATGAGATTACATCTCAAATATCGATGGCTACAAAAAAAAAAAAAAAAAAAAAAAAAAAAATGCACCACTCCATTGAAAAGTTTAAAAATCTCTGATTAGGTTTAACTCATTTATAAAAAAAAATCGAATGAAAATGTTTTCTTGCGAAAATGTGAGATTTATTTTTAATGAAAGAAGAATATTCACAGAAACTTTTAATAAAAACAGTTCTTCAATTTTTCTGAAAAAAAAATTAATCATGGGCAGGGGATCAAAGCGTCAACACCTTATACCAAAGGTAAATAGACTGTTAGACGAAGAAGAACACCAAAAAAATGGCCCAAAACTGTGTGTAACAAGGTGGAGAAATGGTGCTGGGTCCACACCATTTTGCAGGGAAAACAAAGCCGAGAAATTCCAAAAATTACAATTGAGGTCAAAATTTTTTTACTCTAATTGTAATTTTTGGGCTTTATTTTCCCAGCAAAATGGTGCGGACCGATCACCATTTCTCCACCTTGTTTAATGAGTGGATATTCATAAAAAACTTTATACCTATTGGGACCAGAGACCGAAGAAATGCTATTTGGAGGCCTTAATATTCAATGGTATCTGATGTTTTTACTTCAACGATACATACTTTTATAGACCATCTGGTAGTGATAGCATACTTGCATTTTAAAGGCTGAGATTCTGCATACGTTGATGTTAAAATGAGGATTACTATTCTTTGGACAGTGAAATATTTTTTTTTTATTTTCTTTTTTTTATCGATTTCAAATAGCCTATCGGCTAATCCCAATTACACCAGCCCCAGGTGAACATTGCCTAAGACCATCAAACTCAGATCACCAGGCCGGGAATCAAACCCGCGACCACTTGATCATAGAGCCAGCGCTACAATCACTACACCACAGGAGGCCGACATAAGTTGCATTGCAGAATTAGAGAATAAACAAAAATATACCTCAATAGGTATGGATCCACCGCCACAGAGGGGATCAATGACTATTTCACCAGGGACAGGATTAGCTATTTGCAGCATATTGAAGCAAGTCGTTGACTGCAGGGTTGTCGGTCCAAAAAAATAAATATTTCTACGATGTAGTGATTCTTGCGTTAAATTTAAAGCCACATAGACACTTTCTGAAACAAAAATGTACAAACTGATTACAATGATATGACCAGGGATCGAAGTTTCTCAAGAGAGTTAAATGCTGGAACTGGAAATTTTCGATCATTTCTGAGAGGTGATATATTTTTAGGTTTTCTCAAGTCACACAAGTATTATTTATTGAATAATATAGAAATCGACGGTGAAAGTTGGCAATCACATAACTCGTTTGCGGTGTCTGAAAATCTCCGCCTGTACGTCATTTTTTTAAAGGAGAACAAATTGACATTATTTCTTGAAGTTTTTGCAGAATTTTCTTCGAACTGAGAAGAAAAATCATGACAGTTTTGAAAGTTGCCGTCGAGTAGTTTTTCATTTAAAAAATAAAGTATGACAGGAAGTCTGCGACGTCGCAAACCGAGTTATGTGATTGCCGACTTACACCGTCGAAATGTTTTATAATAACTAGATTCTAACAAAAAAAAAAAGTTCCGCACAGAGGTGAATCAAAAGTTGTCATGTACCTTTCATATTTGTTGAGCTTAAATTTATTATTTATTCATACGGGAGAGGTTCCGAATATTAGGTAAATAATCAATTAGCATGAAAAATTATGAAATTGATGACCAATATTAGGGCTAGTTTTGACAGATTCTCACACTTGATCAAAAAATTCTTGAATCCCTCCGTAGTTTTCCAGATAAAATACTGTATGCAATTGATAAACTTCGTCTGCATGTTGCAGCAAAAAGTAGAAAACTGAGGTTAAAAATAAGGTGTCTTAACTTACTGCTTGCAACATTCAGAACGATCTCTAAATCATAATTAACGAGGTCGACAATCCAATGAAATTTATCTTGGAGTGCACCGCCAAAGTACTCTGCAGCCTCTTGGGATTGGAATGAGTGTTTTCCTGTTCGATAGCATGTAACCCTGAATGCTAAAACGTTCAAATAGTCTGGTTTCCCTGTTGATGATGGCTCTGGTAATTTTTCTATCTCTTCATCAGAAAGTAATTTTGTTGACTCATCATCTTCCAAAGGCACCTCATCGGCTTTTTTCTCTAATTTAATTTTCTTCTTGGATCGCTGACTTCTCTTCTTTCTTTTAACAGCTTCTTCATACTGCTCCAACGTTGGATAAAATTCTCGGCCACAGCTCATTATGTCAGCCCAGGCTTTGAGACATTTGGTCCAATCAATGCGATTCACAAGGTCTTTGATCTGCTCTGCATCATCTTCCTGAAAATGGTGAGGCATTGATGAGATGATTATATAAAAGAGCTCTCAAGGGTGGTGGGTTTGAGGATGTTGTAAAAACTTTGGAGGATAAAATATAAATTATGTCTTAAAACTAGATATTGTACTTTACGAGCAACTTGACTTCTTTCTTTGAAACGTTGAAAGTTCTGCAAGCTTGGAATACTCTTCAGTGTCTTTACATACCTTGTCCATTAGGACACCTGTTCTTCAGGATGAAGATAATAGATTTATTATCAATGTTATTAATTTTTAGCAATGTAATCACTTTAATACGTTCCTGATGCAGTAATGGCTGTACAGACAGGACTTATGCTTTGGCCAAAGGGAGAAGAGGAAGACATACCTTGTTTTCGTTAGAGAATGGTATGTCCAAGAAGGTTGCTCCAATCAGACTTATATTGTTGACAGATCGCAGTTCTGTTACCTGTAATAATCAGATTACAAAGGATTGAATGTTTCATTTTGACTTTCAACATAATGAATTGAAAGGCATGTTATTAACTAAGAGGTTCGATTCATTACTTGTATAGCTACGAGATGACATGCATCCCCACTCAGGGTTTGGGAGTTGCAAACTCGATAGTTATAGCAACTTACCGTCGGAGAGTCTTGAAACGCAGCGCCTGGTCTGAGTCTTTCTTTCGCAAAAGTCTGACATCAGTCCCTGCCCTGTCAAGTCTACTCATAGGGCTAGTGACGCCAGCATCGAAGACAGAGCCAAAGGGCAACGATTCAGCATGCCCATTGGCAGAATGTAAAATCCCACTTTTCCAATTCAGCAAACGGAACTGTGTGCCAACTGTATGCAGGACTCATGAACCGTAAGCATGTGTCTAGAGCGTTGCAGACAGGACTCAAGATTTAATACCTCCGGATTGTCGTCCTTCGGCTTGGTCGTCATCACCGACGTCACTAGCGCTTTATGATTCCCATTCATTCTCACAGCCCTTCAGTAGCAAGCACACCCCGTCTTTCTTACATGCACATAGTTCTGTTTGGTAGAAATACGTTCACTTAAAATGTACCCTTACTCTCTTAACTACGAGAGTTGGATTTATCTGTCTTGGAGAACCGTCACCCAAAGAGACATGCGGCCAATGCTATTGCTATTTCAGTAAGTACATACACCTTAGCTGGCGTGTGATTAAGTTCAGAAAGAGAAGTTTTTTACCTACCTTGGAGTATTTGTTGATGTCTGTGTTGAAAAACACTCGGCCACGTGCAGGGCATACTTGAATGTCATCGCCTAACTTGCGTTTCACTTCTTTCTCAGCAAGCCTCTCAAAACCAGATCCAACAGTAGTCTCAAAAGTGCAGTCAGTCGATGAATCTTTCGAATTAGAGAAAATTTCTTGTAAACTCATCACTGTACACTCATACACTAGTTCAAATTGAAACTTTTCTTAGTCACAGCCATTATGTCTTTGGTCACAGCACAGCAAGCAGGCACAGCAGAGATTCGGTTTGTTATGTTGTTTTCCTTACCACGTGACGTTGCATAACCCAAAGTGCTGGAGATTCAACGACCAACAATTGCAACGGTTGAGTGTTGACTAAAAAAGGCGCGCTCGAGGAAAAGCGGCAATTTTAAAATGACGCTCTTTTGTTCCGGGAGCGCATTGAGGGATTTAGGCGGAAATTTATGTGAAACATTATCTCCCGGTTGAAGGTTGCATAATTAATGGTCGGACGTTAGTCTGTGCGAAATCTAGGGAGAGATAGAGAGAACGAGATACCTCATTCTGCACATATCTTGTATTGTAAAATCATCTCAACTGTAAAGATCAAAAAAGGCATCTTAGTTTGGTTCTGGTACCAAATTACTCAAGTCTTGATCAAAATTTAGTACTACTTGAAAGGAGTGACCAAATTTTATTCACACATTTTATGATTCTCTAGACGGGCAAGAAGTGAATCAACGCTTTAAATTGCATCTCTCAGTTCGAAAACGACCCATCTCGGGAAAACTAAATTTGTCGAGAGACGATAAAAACTGCAAAACAGCAAGAAAAGGAGTGTTTCCACACAAAAAATGGACACCGTGAAAAACCCGAGTTGAGTCGTCTCCGAACTGAGAGATTCAATCATAGTGATGATGTGAATGAGAAGATTGGAGCACCCCATACCAAAAGTTCAACTGTACCTACCTACCTACCGATGCTTAAATTTTGCTAAGTAAGTATGTGCTCATGGCTCGCATCACTTTCAGTGAGACACGCTCATAAATAATTTCTGAAAGAGTTTTGATCCAAACAATTATTCGATGAGAAGGGAAGTTGGGTCATAGTTGGTTGGATGGAAAGTTGAGAAAGTGTTTTTACTTCACCTACTCAAAGGAAATAATACCCACAATTGGAAGTTTTACTTACCCATCGACTGATACTCCGATTTGAGGACAGAGAGCACACTTAGTCTTTATGAAATTATATATAATATAATACTTGAGATAACTCATAGGGAGAAAAATTGTACTACATGGCAAGAGCTGAATACCTACCATATGTTTCATGGGTGGATGAGAGATAAGATTAGATGATTTGTTAATAAGTGATTATTTAAAGACAATCTGATAATCAACTACATCAAGAGTAAGAAACGACATAGGTAGGTACCTACATACGACTTGCTGTAAACAAACTTTATCAAATTAAGTCCATCGCCAGCAGCAACAAAGAGTTTTAAAATGTTGTAAAATAGGTATGTTTTTGTGGAGTGTAATTAACCAACTCTTCTTCAGCAAAAGGTAACAAATCAATTTTTACCTCTCCTTCTGAGTTTTTAACTTGCAGCCAACTGCTGCCCCCAGATTTGCCCAGGTGGGAACTATTCAGAGAAAGCGGACCAACTCCCTTTTTATGTCACATTTTTCAGACGTTCCTAATTTTACTGAAAAACGGTAGGTAGGTAATCTAATTTTTCTTCTTGTGATGTTTTCATTCGAAAATGAGAGATCATGGCTAAGTATACAGCTTGCAACCAAAATTTTGCATAGATAAAACAAACCCCGGCTCTTTTAGCACTCTTTTTTCTCTAGATGATATGTTTCAAGTGCTAAAATTCCTATGGGTACTATCTTCTTCTCAGGATGGCTCTTCCTAGCTTGCACACTTTAATGTGGCTGATTCACCTGATTGATATTATTCCTGCCCAACACCGTTTTCCATTGGTAAGAAATGCTCATATTTCGTAAAAATGAAACGAATATTTAATCTGTCGATATCAGATGAAGCCATTTCAGCTAAGGTCTGAAAATTACTTTGCAACTTTGCTCATTTTGTGTGAACTGTACTTAGGTACCTATCTTCCTTTTCCTGCTACAAGTTACATAAACTAGTTTGGAGGACAAGACTCTTAACTAGCCGGACTCAAATTTTACGTTTAATCTTTTATTCCTCTCAATAAAATAAAATAATAATAATGAAAAAAAATTAAAAACAGAATCTAGTTGTAGTTTAAACGTCAGAAAATCTTGCTTAACTAACCCTGGTAGCAGGGACTGTAAAAATCTCTTAAAAAACAAATAAATTTTAATTTAAAAACCCTTACTACAACTGTTATAATTTACGAAGAAGGAGCCCCTTTTTTAGATTTTTCTACATAAAATTTAGGAGAGATCAAATTTAAGCACAATAATAGTTAAAAAAAAAAAAAAAAAAAACTGAAAAAACTCTTCAAATGATAGGTACTCCACTGGTTTTTAAACATTTTTTCCTGTAAATTTTACCATGTAAAATTATTTTAAAAAATGACGTTTCTTTAAGAGTTTTACAATACTTTTTTTGCTTAAATTTTACCTCATGTAAATTTTATGTAAAAGGAAATTCCAAAAAGGGTTTCCTTCTCCGTAAATTTTAACAACTTTTTTAAGAGTATTTTGAAAAACAAATTTTAACAGCTGTTGCTAGTATAAAGAAGGTATAAGTGCAGTAGGTAAGCAGTATTTGTGCAAGCAGATGCCAGTAAATGTAAACTCGTTTTATTCTTTAGGTACTTTTTTGGGAAAACTTTAGAGATGTGATACAATTCTCCAATCTCCAGATAAGAAAGAAATGCATGAATATCTTGATTTGTGACAATGAAGTTTTTGTCGTGATTATAACCTAAGTCTGATTATCTATTGTTCATTACATTTTCCTCTTCCTTCCAAGAGAAAATTCTCTTCAATTTTCAAGCAAAGGAAAACACCTTCAAAATTTTCGAGTTAGAACAGTGCCACCTTTGGAACTTTTCAAAAGATAAACCAAGAGAACACCAACGGATCCTTAGATCATCCGCAGAAAATTTTCCAAACTATCCGCGTTTCGTCCAAAGAATTGTTAAAAATCCCTAAAATAATTATACCTACATAAAATATCACAAAATACATCAAAAATCCATATTTTTCAAGAATACCTGCAAATAGCATGTATTGCAAGAGGATTCTCAGTACAGTCTACAATCCTATGTTGTGTATAGTCATCTGAAAAAACTAACTGAATAGGTTCTTGCACCTAGCCTACTTATACATAGTGAGTGTCTGCATAGAGTGTTTACTTTGCACCAAAATTCTGTATTTCTTTAAAATCTTTCCACACAGGATTCTTATTTATCTTTACACGACTGCAGATGTCCGCATTTTAACAAGATGCGCTGAATAGTTTGCAAAACTTCAAATGCCATGTGTTGTGTGGAATTTTCTGCAATTTGGCGGAATATGTTTAAAAAGTAATGAAAAATAATATGTTTGTTTCAGGATGATAGTGGACCAGGGTTTCAAAGATTGGCTAACAGCCCTGCTTATATTGACAAAACTCTATCCATTGAGGAATTCTTAGAACATTCTAGAAATGCGAGACTAATCACAGCCCCAGCAGGATTTGGCAAATCATTGCATCTGCGAATGTTACAGGACTTCTTCCAAATTCCCCTGAATAAGAATGGAAGTGATATACCAAAAGAATGGTCAACAGCTTTCAAAATTTTTCGCAGCAAAAAAATTGGACACTCCAAGTTTCTTGATGAATTTGGGACCAGAGGTGTGGTCTTCTTTGACCTCACTATACTCTATGGTTTCGATAATATTGCGGAGTATTTTGCCAAATTCCGCAGTGTTATAGAAAAGGCATTCAAACAACACATGTACCTCATCCAAAATGCGAGATCTGAACTTGACTTGTCCTTGAACCGACAAGTTTTTGAACGCTGTGGCGTTCTGGACCCCTCCTTACGCATTAACAGCTCAACCCTGGAGGTGTGTGGCTCGGAACTTATACAACTAGTGCAAACTCATTTCAGAAGAAAAGTCCTTCTTTTGATCGATGCTGTCTCTGCACCCTTCGAATGGGTACTGAGTAATCCTAATACTAATGTGTGGACAACCAAGAGAGATTGCGACTTAGATCGCATCACTAATTCCCTCCAATTGTTTATCTCTTCATTGGTCAAAGGTAACCATCAAGTATGGCGCAGTTATCTGACTGCAATAACTGGTTTTGATATGCCCCACAATGAATCAATTAATAATGTTGAATTTGCGTCAATTTTTACATCAAGAAAACTAGCTGTGGGATTTGGATTTACTCAAAGTGAGCTCGAAGAACTAACTACTATTTTTGGTATGAACTCAGAAGACAAGATCGTTTTGCAGAGATACCTAAAGGGGTACTCTATATATCAGAACGATGAATCTGAGGATGTAGGGCCAATTTATTGTCCAGGTTTTGTTGCAGAGTATTTAGGTGAAGGCAGAGGTAGACCTCGATTGACACCTGATTTCGCTGTTGACTATTCTTCATTGCGAAGACTGAATCCATTTAAAAACTTGTTATCTCCTAAGCTATTTGGAAATCAAATCATCAGAAGTTTGAAACCAAATGCAGAGATAGAAATCAAGAACATTTCAAAGATTCCATTTAAAGATTTGATGCTTTTACGAGAGGCCGAGATAACTGGAGCTACGAAACACCTTAAAAAAATTCAAGACTACTTTTTATTCTATCTTGTGGAGCATGGTTATTTCACAGGCAAATATATTGGAGAGAAATTATCAATTAAGATCTCAAACAAAATTGCAAGACTATCTTTGCGCCATGAAATCACCAAAATTGAATACTACCGAGAATACCTCCGATGCTCCAACACTGCAATTCAAGAATTTAGTGACAGTATTGACAGTTTTGATGGAACTCAAAAAGCCTTAGATAATGTAAAAAGTTTGGTGACAAAAACTTATCACCGAGGTTTGGTGGCAAAACTACCTGAATCTGAGCTTGAAATTTCGGCTCCAATTTACTCTTTTTTAGTGAGATCAAATAATGCTATTGAAAGTATAACAGATTATGATAATTTCGGTGATATTTTTGTGCCTGTACCGAAAATTAGTGGCAATAAGACAACAGAAATTCACCCGCCAAACGAAGTGGCTGGATTAGATGTCACTTTTGTGAAACGAAAAAATGGCTTGGGAATCTTGTTTGGAACTGAATTTGATAAACAACCCCAGAAATATTATGTTGATGAATCATCCTCAACAGCTCAGCAAATTTTAAAGAAAATGGTTGCCATGCGATACTACACATATTTTGCTAAAGACAGGTTTAAGAGGACGGCGCTGATTAGCATCCATATGAATCTAACACATGTTTCATGTTGCTCACTATACAATAGTTACGATATCAATAGTAAATCTAGTATGAAAATGATGTCTAGTTAGCTGGCAAGATTCTCAATTGAATAATATTAGTAGCCTATACTTGATGACACTTTCTGCTCCTCTTTTGACGCTTAAAATGATTCATTTTTAGGAGAGAAGTCCAACTACTCAGAAGAGACAGATCTTCAGTTGGTAGGCTTTGGGGCCGTTCATGAAATTCATAATGCAAAAGTTCAAATTTTTTTACCACTCCATTCCCTTGTAATGTATTCGCAACATAGGTCCCCGTCTTTTAACACATAAATACAAAATGACATACCACTCTCCTTGATCCCCCCCCCCCCCNTCATCCAGAGCAATGCATATTTATTATTTTATGAACGGTCCCTTTTTGGTACAAATGCTTTAAGATAATGATTAATCAACATGCAGATTGAGCACATGTGTCAGTTTTGTTTCTGTGAAGCTTTCACATGATGTTTAAAGGGTTCCCTTAAAATGAAATTATTAAATAATTTTCAACCAATTTAGAAATACGTAAAAACGAACTTTAATGACTCTACTATACAAAAATTCCATAACAAAAGAAAAACACTATTTTGTGCCTTTAGGGTGGGGAAAAAATTGATCTACACACAACCAAAAGAAGTTAGGTACGGTACATTTTTTCGACAGTCTATCAGTAGATACGGATTCGATTGGTGAGATTTTTTTGACAGTTGCTTTTAATTAATTATTTTTAAATTATTCACCACCGATCTGGTAACTAATTTTAAGTTTCTGCCTTATGCCATATGATCGAAGCGCCGCACAGCCCTTCCTCACATGGCAACAAGCAGACAATTAAAAAACAAGACTTGGGGAGCAAACTGTTTCATGGTATTTTCTCTTTCACGGGGGTTGAAACAGCTAGTAAACTTTTGGCATCAGAGGAAACGTAAAAAAAGGAAAACAACCTGCAGCCTGATTGTTGAAATTGTTTGTTTGTCGGGACGGCATAGATGACATATGTTAAAAGGCGGAGCATGATTGGTCGGCTATGTCTTATCGCTGCCTTATCGTGCCTATATCGGATTGAACTCACGACAAGCTAACGGCACCTCTTAAGTTTCCGACAGTATGTCGTCCATTCCACCTGACAAAGGCACGACAAAGCAGTGATAAGACATAGCTTACCAATCACGCTCTGCCTTTTAACCCATGTCATCTATGTTGTCCCAACAAACCAAAAATTTTCACAATCAGGCTGCAGGCAATCAACATATGAAACCAGTGCAATATTTCACGTAGCCTAACATTTAGGAACATAGGCTGTTTCTTAAAGTTTTCAAACTGTTAGAAGAAGTACATCGACACATTCTGTCTAAAGGTCCATCTACTCAAGAATTACAAAATAGGAAAAAAAAGGCCACCTAGGTGCTAGTAAAAACTAATATGCTTAATTGCTCGACCGTTGGCAGAAAATCAATAATGAAACTACAAAACCACGTTTAACCGATGTTTTTCCCCTTTTATATGCCATTTTCAGATTTTTTGGTTGAGCACTACTTTGCTCTCAAGAACCTTGGTTGAGGGTGGTCAAAAGGGCAAAGAAATCAGGGCTATTGACAGATCGCCATCCGTTCTGCTCTCATTGGAGCACACCAGGGGAACATAGTCAAACATTCCTTATTTAAAACATGTTCAACAAATATACACATTGAACAATATAATGCTATACAATGAATTTACCCTCGGCTGGACAAAACCATGTATTTGGAGCACCACAGTTTTCTCATTTCTTGAGATTTCACATACTTGAGAGATACCTGATCATCATTATTGCAAAAGATTTTCCTCCTGTTTACAGGAATATTCTCTTGAAAGTTAGTAAACAAATATACAGCAATACTTGCTCAAAATATAAAAAGGTAGGAGAAATTTTAAAACTTGCTAATCAAGATAAATGCTTTCATAGTTTAACCATCGATATCTAATCGCACCTAAAGGGCTACCAATGATGATGCATACGTTCTACAAACCATTTGAAAAGTTATTTCTCTACAAAATAAAAATTGAGGGCTCCTTAAAATTTTATGAGCATTGTTCATTCTTTAAATTGATCCAAATTATTTGGCATTGTAAACATTCGTGGATTTTTCCTTCAATACTGAGAAGTCCACTTATACTTCCATCTTTGAAACTTTGAACTGATACAAATTAAAAACTTATTCATTACTGTAATTGCTGTAATCACTGTCATAATCTTCAAGATTAATTGTGGTTATCGGAGGCTCAGTTGTAGCTTTGCGGATAATGGATGGACGAGGGGAAGATAATGAAATAGATGTGGAGGATGAAGACCTGACCTGAGGGGTATTTTGCAGCCTGGATTCTTCACTTGCGGCTTCATTTGAGAGCGAGTCTTCACTGAAACTGTCAAGATCCTGAAAAAAGATAACCAAGAATGAGAAACTCTGAATATGTGCTGTTTGAAATATGCACATTTAAACAAAAAATGTTTTTCCTTCGTAGAAATTTTCAAAAATGAGATGGTAAAAAAAGTATGTGCACGAGTATGACACGGTAAAAACGTTGAAAAATCTTATCTCCTTGTGTAATGTTATATATTTCTTCGTATGTTTCATTTCTTCAAGGGTGAATTAAAAACCATCATTTCTTGGAATATTTACTGACATTCCTTCATTCTATAAAGACTGAAGTATTCTGTTTGAAATATGCATATTTAAATGAAACAAATTTTTCCTTCGTAGAAATTTTAAAAAATGAGATAGTAAAAAACTTATGTACACGTGTATGACGCGGTAAAAACGTTGAAAAATCGTATCTCCATGTGTATTGTCATAAATTTCTTCGTATGTTTCATTTATTCAAGGGTGAATTAGTAACAATCATTTCTACGAATTTTTACTGACGTTCCTTCATTCTATAAAGACTGAAGTATGCAAAAATTTTCAACAACGCCCACTAGTTTTTTTTAAAAAAACATTTAAAAAAGGGAAGATTTTTCTCATTAATGTACATATTTTTTTTTACTTCATCGAGGTTTTGTGGGTGAGAAACAATGTAGGGGGATGTGCAAAACATCCCTGTTTTTGATGAAATACTGTTATGTTGGCAACAAAACCATGTCAATAGTCAAGCAAAATGAAGAGTAAAAACTTGAAAATTGGAAAATTCTCAGATCACTTTTTACTTGGACAAATTTATGCGAAAAAAGTCTACCAATTTTGAGACTTCCAAGGAAGGAATCATTTGTTAATGGGATGGAATGGAATGAATTGAATGAATGGATTTTGAAACTGGTTTGAGTAGAATTTGTGCTGCAGGGGTGACCTACATTGAGAATTAAGTGGGAAAATGATACGGTTCAGTATCAGGCAGATGCACGGTTTTTCCTTAAGTTCCCAGTTTTGTATGTGCCTCAATCCGACGTATCAATGGCGACACACCAGCGAAAACGAATCAAAAAGTTTCCTTTGAGGATTAAATGGGAAAATGATATGGTTCAGTATCAGACAGATGTTGGGTTTTTTCTTAATTTCCCAGTTTTGTATGTGCCCCAATCCGACGTATCAATGGCAACACGCCAGCAATGTGCAATTCCACTGTTGGAAAACCTCCAATTATGTTGATTTTTGTCAAGGAAAACGAATAAAAATTTTGTGTGGTTTTAAAAATATGAACCCTTTTAACTGTACCTGCAAATTAAAATGTACGAGGAGTTTGTGAGTTAAAAGCAAATGAATAGATTTCTAGTTGAATGAATACCTGCTCAAATTTAGCCCAAGGGTGGTAGGACTGAACGCTGCGCGTTGAACTTGAGTCATAGGCTGCCGCTAAATAAGAACGCATTACTGTCCTGGCGTAACTGTCCGAAGTTTTGATGAGGTGAAAAGGTATACTTATTCTTGAAGACTGAGCTGTACTTTTCGTAGAGCCGGTATTCTGAAAAATTAGAAAAGGGTGTCTACTAAAACAGGCTGGCCAAAAATCAGTACTTTTACAGTACTTTTTCAGTACATTTTGAAGAAATTCAGTGCGCCCTCAACAGAATAATTCAGTACTTTTTCAGTACCTCCAATAAATTGACAAAATTCGAAAAATTTAAAAGATTTGAATTTCCCGCTCAAATAGCAAATAAAATGACAAAAATTCCGGACCTTCTTGTAGAATTCCCGTACATTTTCAGTACTTCCGGACCGTCCTATAAAAATCAGTACTATTTCCGAACTTTCCGGAAATTCCAGACTGGTAGACACCCTGGTGCACTCATATGTCAGGATAAGATATGGTTGACTGCTGGAGCTGTGCTAGCCTTAAAATGCTTAAAATTTATGGTCTCCTTAAAGTTTGGTTCAAGCTGAGAATTTTTGTTTATAAATGACACCATAGGAATGATACACTCCTAAGTTTTGTCTTGTTCATACCGGGTTAACACTGCATTGTTTGTCCGTTTAGATAAAATATTATTCAAGGATTTCCAGAGCTAGTGGCAGACGAGGACTGAGAGCAACAAAATAACTAGGAGTACCTATCAGTTCTTGAACCAGCCCGTTTTAGTTATTTTAATGCCGTGTAAAGGGGATAAACCAGTCCAAAATTACCCTAAATATCAACCATTCCACCAGGATTTTTCCCAGAGTTTTGCCTGCCTGTCTGTCCCTGACTGGTGGATTTCTTTATATCAGCTGACAATGTGCCACAGAGGTGCAATAAGCTCTCAGCCTTCCCACTTTTCAAACTGGCCGTCCCATTTTGCGTCCCCTAATTGCCTCAATTCTACAATAAATGCACTTTCACTGTAATTTTCCAACAAACATGCAATTATAACGTTATTATGACCTGGCCTTCCCACTTTTTCATGCAAGTGGCTACGCAATAGATCGCATGATCGGAAAGTTTCCGCACCCCTGTGATGCCATTATTGCCATTTTCAAGAAAAAGTCAATGAGGCAAAATATGCTGTTTGGAGCACTTAAATTACATAATTGTTGGCTACTTTACAACCACAATGCTGCACCAGTAAATCAAAGAGTTCCTAGACACTTGGGATTAGCACATCATGACACAACAGTGGAAGAATTTCTTACCTCCATTCTGATGACTTGTAGATTGATACGCTTTTCTGTGAGCTCAGGCAGAAGTTCCAGGTAGTCTGTAAATAGGTCTTGACACAGGATTAAAATGACAGTTCTGGACGCATTTACATGCCACTGTAAATTTGTTGAATATTTTAATGCATCAATGATTGCGGCATTGGTAGTAGGACTGTCTGACCAGAAACGGCGATCGCTGTAATGATAAATTAAGGTGAAAAATAATAATGTTATTATGATATTATTTTTTGACAGGGATTTCTAAACTACTGTCAGGAGGATCTGTAATTTCTAGAAAGCGTGTCCTTAGGATGGTATATAGGGGAAAGCCCACTGAATCGGATGGATAGGTAAACTATTCCCGGTAAATAAAAAATGTAGGGCTGACAAGGCTCTCAGTTGTGGTGAAAGCAGCCTTTGTAGGAGGAAAAATTCTAAAATCAAACGCTGATCATTCAGATTTCAGGTTGAATCATCAGGCTGCCTCTTTGATAATCATAAAAAACTCAAAATCACTAGTCTCACTGCCGATTGGACTCTACACAGAAATTGTCTAATTTTACAGAAACACACCCTTTTCTTTTGAACTTGGGTGTGTGGGACAACTCCAAAAATTTGACAGAATGGTCATTGGACGAACTGATATCAGATATAGGAAAGCATGGAATTGATGCGGTGGTATTAGGTAAAACGTATTCAACGCCTTAATACAATTCAGTGACACAAATAGGTGACTCTTTATCTTATGAGAGAGAACCAATATTACATATTACTCAATTAGAGCCACCAGAGAAAATAAAATAATTATTTTAATACTAAGAACTGGAAATGATGTTTAGTTTTCATACCTGCTGAGAGTTTTTTTAACTAAGTTTGGATTTTGAGTCCACATTTTTCCATTCATAGTCCGGATCCGTGGTTCCGGGAAAGCATTTCCACTGAATCCGACAACAGCAATGTTGACAAGATCATATTCTGTATGGAATACATTTGATAACATTGAAGAAATATACTCTAATTCTGAACCAAGAATACAAGAATGATCTTCCACGACAAATGTTGCGTCTGCAATCTTAACTCCGCTTTTTTCAGCAGAATCTGAATAAGATTCATTGTAAGCTGAAACAACCAAAATTGAACATGGTTAGGCACTTCACATAACGAGATCAATGTTTAGAACTTTAATGGGCTGATAAGCATCCCACAACCAAGGCATTACTAAAATCAGCATCACCATGCCTTACATTCTAACGTCAAATTAATTTTCCGAGCCTGTGGCGAGTGAAAAGGATCCAAAAAGACCTCCTAAGACATGGAATTTTCCGATCTTAAACTCGAAAATTTTCGAAATCTACAATGATGAAGACTAATAAAATTTTGATTGATAATAATCCAAGTTTTCAAAATAAGACCTTAGACATTGTTCATTAGAAATAATATCCTATCAGCAAATCATATAAGTTATTATCCTTTTGAGGTCATGGAATCGTAACTTAGGGATGGTGTGTTAATCTCTCATCAACAGATTTTTTAATCATGCTTGGAAATCAATATTCATCTTGACTACTTCCAATTGGACGTATTTCTGCCAAACGGAACAATGTGCCCTGAGACTCATAAGAATATATGCATAACAGGGGGGCTCACATCATAATGCACATAGTTCCGTTTGGCAGAAATACGTCCAATTATTCTCCTTTTTCCAGTGATATTTTAGTGTGGTACAGAAACCTGGTCTATCATTGTTAGGTACATGTGCTGATAATAATGTCTACATGCGATAGGTGGTGTATGAATGATGGCAATTTTTTTTAAACATGGGAAATAGTTCTCCCATACATTATGCATGTTGCGCAAATACTAAGAAAACTATTGTTTATCATAGGTATATTTCAAACAAATCAAGGAACTTTTATCAAAAATTCACTTGATTCATAATGTTTCTAGAATTATTGATTTTCCGTTTTTTTCCAGGATTAATTTTTTTCTTTATAGCTGATGCACACAAGAATGGTCTCCAACGTTTAAAGTAAGAACGGGTCAGTTGTGCTTACTATGGAGCCAATTTTAAATGGCTGTACTCAGTAGATTGGTATTAGTATGAGATCAGTCTAGGCTCCAGGTTTTTACAAGTGCATTCATAAATAATAAGGATAAAACTCCTCCTTCAAGAAATATCTTCGAATGCTGTAGTGTTTACCATGGGTTTTTTTATTTGAGTTTTATCTACTCTTTCAGTGAAGAGAAATTGTGAATCACTGCTGAACGTATCCAAAGTGGAAGAAACCATGCACCACCATGGTGGATGACAGTAGTTGAAGAATTTTTCGAAGAATGATAACTCTGTTATTATTGAACTGACAAACTTGGATCTTGGCAGATCTTAGTATTCTATGCCAATCTGAAGAGTTTCAATCTTCACGTCATGATATATTGGCCGGCGCAACTGACATATTTTCGAAGTAAAATGAGAGAGAGAGAAAAAGAGAGGTGTAATTGCATTACAACATTGCAAATTTCCATTTGACACTCCATTAATTTACTAAGAAACAGTTGCAAATTTTCTTTTTAAATTTTGTGTGCATTATCTTGGTGAGTTGACAAAACTTTCAGGGTAAAACATACACTTGTCAACGAATATAATCAATTAAGCGTGAAATGAAACTTTGGAACATTGCAATGCAGTTGAGCACTTCTGGCTTTCACTCCTTTGAATTATAAAATTGGCGATTGATTAATATTATGGGCAATGAAAGCAATGATAATGTAAGCAAGAAAAAAGGTGTTAAACAAAATGATGAGTCAATATGCATCACGGGCTATAAAATTTCCCACAAATGATACAAAAAATGAGGAGCTATGTGCTAAGGTGAGACGATTTCATGAGTCGGGCCGAAATTGGTATATTGTTTTAAGGTGACATTACACAAATAAATGGACATCAGTAAGCTAACAGGATCTATCTCCCATGAGTTGTTGGTGCCATCACATATTGACGGTAACACTACAACAATGCATATCTTCTTTGCAGTGATTCGAATCTCCATTCTTTTTATACTTTTTAGACTAAGACCAAACCAATGTCATGGCTTGAAATTTTCAATGAATTCACAAAGCCACTTTAAAATATTAAAATTATTAGTAATTATTTTCTCAACTTTAATGAGGATACAGGTAACTTGTGTAACAGCTAACTTGTAATTTCTAAGACTTGTCAAAACTTTGTATATTATAATCCAACGGGCATGAGTCGTCGCCGTGAAAAGTGGTGGATGAGAGACAGAGTCAGAGAACGACTCAGTCTATTGTTTAAAAGTTGTTTGACTTCAGAGAGCCCTGGGACTTGGAATGAGCTAAAATGCCCGCGTTTGATGACGAGTAGCTGAAAAAATGGAACCAACCATTGCGATATATTGCATGTCGTTCTGACACAAAATATGGCGTCCATCGAATCACCTTAAATCTAACAAAATCTCAATGCCTTCAGTCAATTGATGAAACCTATCCCATTATCATTACAAATGAACCATGAATTGTGCTATGTCACAGTTAAAACGATCTACTTTGGAAGAAGCAGGGGATAGCAACAGAAGCAAAACCAATACATTCTCTTACCACATTCTGCGGGCAGGTTCAATATTGATTTCATGTTACAAGACGCAAGGTAGGCAGCAGCGGCCGAACAAAATGAAGGATGTCTCAAGCCAAGATTACAGAGCTCCGCAAACGGCTCAGGGTTGACTTTAGGAAAACAAGATCGAAATGGTGAAATTTTAGACCTAAAATAGAACTCACAGTTGGCTATTGTCTTAGACACTTCACTTTTTGCAACATGTTCGCTCTTTGGAATCAGTTCACTGGTCATGTTTTGGCAATTACGCAAAGCCCAGCTGCTAGCGAATACACTGGCTTGTTCGACGACTGTGCCGTTCGGCAATGTAAAGTCGTTTGCTGGCTCATTATCGTAGGTGCCAAGCAGACCACCGGTTTTACCAAACATCCAGCCATTAATCTGAATGCTGCATATATCATTGTAAAAGTTGCAATCAACAATGAAACCATTAACGGTCTTCGCGACAATCCGATTAGGTTCATCGAGAGTCACAGTGATCGAGCGGCTAGCAAATGGTAGCTCAGTTACATTTCCGTTAACGTAGACTCTTCTGTCTAGATGGTTTATTTCTATTTCCGTCCCATGGCTCATGACCGAGACTGATTTTTTTGTTGGAACACCATCCTGTAAACAGAGCAGAAAAATAATTATATACGTATTTTTATTTGCTCTCCCTCTTCAATGAAATTTTTTCCTCAATGATGAGGATTTTTTCATAAAAAAAATAGCGCAATGTCTAGGACATTCCGTCAACAAATCTAAAAAGTGCTTAAACCCATTTGGTTCAACGTAATACTGCTAGGCTAACACAGGTGCTGTTTGGATGAGTTGCTCACTAGTTGGCGCGCAAGTTCCCTTGCCTAACGCTATATCTCTATACCTTTATGATCTATCTGAGGCTAGAAGCAGCAAATCTGCTGCGCTATGGTTGGGTCTAATTAGAATCAAAACGCATCCACAGTTGCCTTTCTGACGGGTGTACCTAATTTTATTCTGCACTGTGTATCTTTCATGTTTCAGAAAATTTGATTGAGTTCGAGAGTTTGAATTTGAAATGGATCTTTGTCCATCTATAATGAAAATGTTTGTTTTACATATAATAACATCAGTGAGCAGGATGGACTGACAACATTTACCTCTCACATCGATGCTGCTCTATTACTCAGAGAAAGCTTTAATATTCCAGTTTAAAATACGGATTCTCTCAGGTGGAGGAATCATCAGAGAAATCATAATACTCATGTGACCATTCTTGAGAAAAGAGACTCGAATGCTGAAAAACTCAAAATTAAAATAGTGGCACTATTGCTCACATAGGAGTGTTTTATGAACACTTTGACGCAGAAAAACTAAAAAATATTAAACCATTCTTGAAGTCAGTGACAAAAAAAGGCAACCCTAGACATAGAATAATAGCTATCAGAAAGGTAACTGGCAGATCCTCCCGTAAGATTGCGCACAGTCACCTTTTCGAAGCGGACTTCGCTCTTTTTTCCCCGCGAAATTTGAAACGGCAGAGAGACGTAGGGTAACAGCGGCCGGACTTCGCTCTTTTCCCTCGCAAGGTAGGCTGAGCGGGGGTCGCAGGGAATTCAAGAATCGGAGCAAAGATGGCCGACTGCTGCCTTTCCGGTAGCTATTATACTATGCTCTAGACATGAGGGGAGAGGAAAAGCATGGTATGTAGTATGTACTGTAAAAGAGAGGGGAAAAATAGGGAATAAATGAGAATATCTGGAGAGATGGGTGGAACTCAGAAAATGAAGGAATACGATTGGTGCAGAGAAAAAAGCTATGGAGTTAAGACAATGGGCCTGTGTAAAACACATAATAACTGGTCACTCTGCATATGCTTTGCATGGGTCAGATCGATTAAAAAAAACACATCAACACTGGCAAAGCACTACATAATGCCTTTCATAAAAAATCATCCCTCATGTGCTAAGGTCACTTTCTGCTTCGGCGCATGCATGTAAATTAACTAACTTAAAACATACAAACCTGGTTGACATAATTCACAGTTATGAAGGCTCTATTCTGTTTGAAGTCTCCTGCCAGGATGTACCTGCAATCTGTGCTGCTGAAATTGTACACTTTTCCATCAAAGGTGATAAAGTACTGACTGCCAATCAGTAGACCTTTGGCTTGAAATGGAGGCACCAGTGAAGAGAAGGAGGCATTGTCTGCCGCAATGTTCATTAAACCATAATATAAGCCACTCAAAATTTGATGTCGATGCCTGAAAAAATGTTAATGTATTTCAATACTTAGTCAGATGAAATTTTGAAATATAGGATTGACAAATCTTAAGGTGAATAAAAGAGGTTTTCAACTTTTTTTTAGGACAAACGCTCACTGAGCCAGTGTAAACCTTTAGAATTATTATATTCAAGACAAGAGGGCAATTTATCGTGAGCTCAACTGAGAGACATAATCTGAAAATTAGGGTACTCTTTATGGTTTCACCGTCTTTCTGCGATAGCATGTGATGAAAGTACCAGCTCTCACCTTGGTCTGTTTTCTTTGTTTTAGGAGATTAATTACCTTATAAAAGAACTAATTTTGAATAATCAATCATTAATAGCAAGAGTTTTAAAACATCACAAAATAGAGGCAATTCAAAGTTTTAGGTCAAGAAAAGCAATGAGTCAACTGCACTAGTAAGAGAAATATGTTTTGATGATTTAAGTTTTTAGATTAGCAAAAAAATTAAGGTCTGCTTAAAAGCCAAGTTTTTAGGTTCAGTATAAACAGCGATATAGCTCATCAAAAAGCATGGCATGTATCCATACCATTCGTTCTTTCACCTTCGTTTCATCAATCAGTGAAACACACATACATTTATGCACTCATTGATCAACGTAAAACAAGGATGAAACTAAGATGAAGAAACCACTGTATGCATACTACTACGGTGGATGATGTCATATGCTGTGTTTTTTGATAAGCAATATTTCCATTAATGCTGAACAAAGAACTTTGGTGTTTGGACGGATCTTTTTATTTTTTGCTAATTTATAAGCTTGATGTATCACAACATGATTCTAAGACTAGCACATTTGACCTATTTATGATTAAACAGGTGACAACTGCTAACTTCCTAATTACTTGTCTGTTTTAATGCATTTTTTGGTTGTTGATAGAACAGTAATCAAGATTTACTAAGTATGGACAACATGATAACTAACATCTACAGACAATTTTTGCACAAGTAGGTCTAAACTTCACGTAATAGCTATAAAATTAACTTACGTATTGAAACTATTGAGTTCAACGGAGGCTGTGTCTTGATTTTGTGTTTGCTGCAGCTGTTCAAAGTGCGGCTTGGTGTCAAAGCCATCCCAATCGATTGGCAGCTCCTGAGAAAACTCAATCGAGTTGGAATCCATGTTCACAACTGTGTTCAGTTCTTCACTCTCCTCCTCACTATTTTCTGCTGATGGATTCAGGGCTACTTCTAGTTCATTTGCATAGCTGTTGATCGTCTGGACCAGTCTACGGACATTTTCTTGCATTTTTAGCGAAATGGCGTGATACTTCCTCAACCACACAAGCTAGAGAACCAAACAAAGTGATGAAAGAAATCTGACAGTCAGAACAAATTAATTATCAACTTGGTAATACTTAATTTCCTACAACTTTACCATTTGATAATCCATTTCACAAAAGCCAAAGAAAGTATACATACATGCGTGCGTGTGTGTGCCAGCTTGTTAGAAAGGAGTAACAAAATTGTTATCACAACGTTGCTGCCAAAATTAACATTGCAGCAATGTTTTCACAATTTTTTGTCGGGTGAATAACAACTCAACCGGTGGAAAATAATCCTGATATTACATCAAAAGCAATACAGCTTTTCAATGCCCTCCTGCTAACATTAAAACTATCTTTTAAAAAAATGAGCATCCCAATGCATTTCTTCAACTTTTGAAAAAATTCTGCCAAGAAGAAGTGTTCTACTACCTGAATGAGTTTCTGGGGGATAGCTACATACACAGATGTCAGGGAATAGATTGTTCCTGACGAATTTCTGAATCTCTGGTAATGGTTCCACTTGTTTTTTCATTTCCTTACTTAGCGCACTTGAGATGGAGTAATTGAAAAGTGACATATATTTATTTGAATTTTTATTCACACATGCAACAATTAGTTTTTTTCTCGATGACCACATTTGACTTGTACTATAAGCTAAATTGAGCTTTTTTTAGTACTAAAATTTTAAAATAAAAAAAATAAATACAAAATATAAAAACAAGATACAAAAAGGCCGAGCAAAATATGTCAATCACAGTTACAAAACATGAGATGGGAATACTCACTTTCTGATAAACACGATTGATAAAATCAAAAGAATTTTTGAACACAGGATAGTTGATGTAGTTTTCTAGCCTATCAATTGTGGTCAACATGGAGGTTTGGATGGAGTTGATATATTCTCCAAAGTTCGATTTGAGATCCTCGACGACCAGTTCAGTGATCCTACACATACAGACACACAGGTAAGATAGTAAACTGGGCTGATGTTTAACAATAGAAGAAACCTAAATTACAAGACCACTATCGGCCAATAAAAAGGTAAACATCTTTATGTTTTGCAAATACATTGATTAAAAAAAATTAGGAAGGGTCTTCAAATATAAGCCCTGTTTTGAAAAAAGGACAGTGTTATTCATTGGCGCCACACTGGTCACCACAAAGACATTTGCTGTCCATTTAGATTGAGAATTCCACATGCACATCGAAATTATGAAACTTAAAAGTGACTTTTCCTGACCAAACTTCAGAGCTCATGGGAAACCCACAAAGACAGAGAAAACCATGAATATGAAATTACACATTTAAAACCAACAAACCAATGACAAAGAACTGCACAAGAAAAAATTCAAGAAGCAAATGAATAAGTATGTACTTGCTTCCTTCTGTTAATACTGTGTTATGCCACCTTCGGTGTTCAGACTTTTTCAATGAGAACAAAGAGAGAAAATTGTAGAACAACTTACATATCCATGAAATATTTTAACTTCTTGATTAAATTGCCGAGATGATTTTGTGACAGCCAAGGATAATTTCTTTCAATTAACAGTATCAAGTATTGAGATTCTTCCATCCGGAATAAATCATCTTTGAGAGCATCTAGATTCCCTGAAATAGTTGGAAACAAGAAGTAAATGTAAGATTGAAGTTGAACATGGTATTCTTCTTAACGCGATGCATTTTTATCTGGTTTTCTACCTTATCATCCTGGACATATTAGGAAAATTAATCAATAGACACAACAAATAAAATAGATATCTTGAAATAATTAACTGCCTGAATATGATAAGGAAAATAAAAGACCAAAAAGGGTTAAATTTTGAGAAATAACATAAGAGCGAAGCAAAGAGACCTTACTTTAAAATTTAGAAAATTGAGTTTTGACCATAATTGCAACAAGAAGATTCTGACAGTTCATGTGAGTCCAAGTTTAAAAAATTGACCAAAATTGACCGAAGTATGGCGTTTTCAAAGTTTCCAGTCGAAGAGTTTCAAAAAATCAAAATGTTGAGAAGATTGTGTTAAAACTTTTGACCTAGAAACGACTACAAGGAACCTGAAATTTCCTCTCTGGCAGGGAGTCTACTAAAGTCCTTCAAAAGAATTTAAGTACTTTTTAGGGACTTTTCACTATTGTAATGTTTGGTCTGATTCAACTTAAATGACTCTACAGAAGAAGAATAAGCAGAAGAAGATTCCTGAGATAAAATAAGAAGATAGTAAAAAAAGAATAAAAAACTTTAATTTGATTATATTCTTGGCTTTGGTGAATATTTCATGGAAATCAAAACCATGCATTGGCTAAATCTTTAGTATATCTCCAGGGTTGAGTGATCCTTCTGGTTTTAACAGTACATTAATATTATTGATTCCTAACTATATTCTATCATTCACCTCTGAATCTAGAGGCAACTACAAAAAATGATGGAACAATTAGACTCGCTCAGAAAAAACAAGAGCAACAGACCTACCATTTATTTTGTCTTCTAGCTGGAGGATGGATTCATCAAAGTGGTCATAGTAAGTTTGCAAAACAATGCCCCTGGTGAGGATGTAATTTTCAAACCGGAGCAGAATTTGCTCGACAATCTCTTCTAAGATTTGTATTTGATAAATGACAGTCCGCTCAAAAATGACAAGCTGATGCCGCAATGAAATAACCAGCGACTCCAAGAAATTCCGTGTGTTGAAATTCACTCTCATTATATCATTCCACAAATTCATGGAGACTAACTTCAGTGATAAACTCACGTCCTGTGGCAAAATCAGTCAAAATAAAAAGTTAGAGGAATGTATGTTTTGTAGATTAGTAGAGCCGTTTTTAGACAAATCTTGCACATCAGAATATCAATAGCAAAATGTAAAAAATTCCAAAGCCTTAATTATATTTTATTTCATTCATGAAAAACTACTCAAAATGCTTCAATTTAGCATGAATATTAAGAATGAGTGCAAAGATGAAAAAAAAACTGGAATTTATTGTAGCAGCTAAGATGTGATGCAAACGAAAGTCCATATAAACTTTCAGAGGTGAAAATAGGATGAAAATTGAAGTAAGAGCTTCAAAAAAATATATATAATTCTGAAACACATAATTTGATAGAGCAGAGATTTAATAATGAAAGAATTCAATAACTTGTTGACGGTGAAAAGGACAAACCTTGATATCCTCTATGACAGCTGACATTCTACTGTGGCTCAAAACGAAACCTTGTCGAATTGAAAGAACGAACTCCTTTGCAGCAAACTTCAGGGAACTGACAACCTCGACAACCAGCTTGAAAAAACCAGAAAATTCCTCCTCCAAAACAGCACTGGATAAAATAAAGAACAAAGTTGTTTGATTAGTTAACAGATTTACTTTAACAAAAAAGTTAGTACCATTTTCAAAACTGCTTTTTCTTTTTCTTGGATCGATTTGGGATAAATTCTATAGCTAGATTGAATTATTTCAAATGATGGACAAGGCAAAAAAATTCAGGAACTTTTTGAAAAACTGAATTAAGTAAACAATTTGACTTTTGCAATTTTCAAAAACATTCCAAGCCGATGCTTCAGGGTTCTATCTCACATCTCAATTTCGAGTCTCTCAAGCCACTAAGTGACTTACATAGAGTACAATACAGTCGCAATGTTCTGGAGCGCCAACGAAGTCACTTTATAAGGCTGTTACTCCTGAGACTAGTGTGCGGCGACTGGCGATGCCGTATGCACAGGGTCCCAGCTCCGGTCTTTGCTCGGAAAATACAGGTATAAAACTTATTTCATAATAACCTGGAGTGTTGTACATTTTTGAATTCCTTATGACTTCGGTGAACACAATTTGCCAAACTTCGTGGAAATAATGATTGATTTAAATGAGTAAATCTCGAAAACCACTCGCAGCTTGCCATTCTCCCATAAGCCGCCGTGTTAAAAAATGCCGAACAGTTCCCAGATGGTTTCCACTTTCCGGCAAACAAGGGGCTCGGAATGGCCCATTCATGGATTGACTTCATCAGCGCTCCAATACATTGCAACTCTATTGTACTCTATGGTGACTTCATGAATGAAACTAAAAATGGACTTACACATATGATTTCAGACCGTTGTAAATATCCTTGCAGTAAAACTGATTGGTGTCCAACAATACAGCCCCTATCTTGCCAACCTTCTCAAAACTTTCACCGACTTGTCGCGACTCATGAGTAGTTTTCAGCAACAGCAATTCCAAGAAGTCAGCAAACTTGGCAGGAATGACAGTAAAAGGTGCGAGGAAATTTTCTTGGCCTAACTCCAAAAATCCGAGGTAAATATGCTCGACAACAACTGGCAAATCACTGTACTCCTCAAAAATATCTTTCGCTGCACTCAGTGTTACGGAGGGAACAAGAATCTTGCCCCACAATAACCTGGAGCTATTCAGTTGCAGCATGAAGAGAGCATCAGTTTCCTCTGAATCAAACAACTTCATTGATGCCTCTGCAACTATTTTCTTGTTGTTTGGCATTCCCACATAAACTCTGCAAGCTCTTAAGTCGCCATAATGTAACTCCATTTGTTTTTCTCTCTTGTTGACAGTACTCATTTTAAATACGAGTGGTTCTTTGTGGTTTGTTTGCACTTTAGCAATGAAACCGTCCGCAAGAATGCCTCCTCCAATCTTCAATTGATTAAGGTTACTTTTCACTGTCAGGTCCATTTCTGAACTAGTTTTATTGAATTCACGTATAATTTGAAAAACTCTAGTTGAATCCGTCAGGAGACTGTGGTATGATATAGTAGCACCCACTTTGTTTTCCCAAATATTTTCTTGAGAGTACAGTTTTACTGAGAACAACAAATTTGTAGCACTATGAAGGATTATGAGACTGGATGATGATTCATTCGTCCCATTTTCTTCAAAATCAAAAGTTTGTAACTCAGCTGTAAACATATCAACAACATCTTCTGAGTAAATGACTTGAATACGTTTGACTATTGGGCTGCAGTGGATCCGAATAGCAACTTCATGCGAGAGTGCAAAGTGACTGAATGAAAGTTCATTTGTAGACGAGTATTCCTCCGTACTGGTGGTGTATTTCAATGCAATTTTCTTGTCATTGGACGCAACAGCAACGCCTAAAGATGATTCATCTAATCCATTGTCGTCAGGAAGGGATTTGAAAGCACTAAAGCTCAATACTTTACCTGGGAGGTACAAAGTAAGCAGGCCGACATTTTGTGAAAATTCTTCTGGTTTGCCTTTCATGACTCTGACACCAAATGCGTTTTCATTGTCCAGAGAAAATTTTGCAGTGTAGTCCAACATATCATCGCTCCCTTCTTTCGTGAGTCGCAGTTGCTTATCGAACATTTCAACTTCTAAGTTTCGATACGAATCTGTTTTAGAATAAGTGAAACCAATGCCAGTTAACCGATCCTGAGTGTCCAGATGATATCGGACCAAAAGAGTTGTTTCATAAAAATCTAAAATGATCGTCTGTGAGAGACGAAAATGAACGGGCTGCATTGGATTCAAAGCAGTCACTTGAATGAGGAATGGTTTATTGTACCAGGTGGCAGGTTCAAGATTTGGTAACTCAATAGCATATGACAGTTTAAGAAGGTGAACACTATTTGTAACAACTGAAAGCATACTTTCTTTCGGTGAGTAATCAATGAACAAGGAGTCGGAGATTTCTTTAGGAGTGGTCAATGCAAATGACAAGCCAGAGACAGATTTGGCCAGGACCAGTCCGCCCAGGGGTGAATCATCGAGTAATGCGTCGAGGCTAAAACTATACCATGGGTAATTTGAGGCTCCAGTAACTAAGAATTGGACAGAAGAATTATTATAACGAGCATAGTAGTTTACATTTGCAGATTGTTGCAAGACATCAATTCGATTTGAAATATTGAGTGATAGGACTGGAAAACCATTGATGAAGGGCATGTCAACGTGAACTAGAAGCGTATTGTTGAAAATTGAATCGTACCGATGGGCAAAGGTGAATCCCATTCCCTCATTAAGTGATGGGTGTTGAAGCCATAGCGCTACTTTCTTCTCATCTTTGTTCAAGAACTGAATTTTAGCTGCATATTTTTGGACATAAGACATTAACATGACTTGCATCTCTGAATCTAGAAGGAACGCATCTCTGTTAAAGTTGGTTCCAAGCTTGGCATCTAGAATTTTTTGCATGTTCCAAAATACTGTAAAAGTTTGTTCTGTTAGTTCTCCAGTAGTGTTTTTCTTGTATTGAACAGCAACGAGACTCTTTTTATAATTCGAAGAGAAGGCAAAGTGGCTTAAGGAATCTTTTTGACGCGTTATCTGAAGCACTGTTTTTGACTTGTGGCTGGATGACCAGAAATCTACATCAGCTGAGTAGTCTGTTGTATCGTTGTTGATTCTGTGAGTGAGGATTAAGCTACCAGAGGAGATCATGGCCTTATCAACATTCAAGACAAAGCTTGCATTGTAATGAGATGTCAAAATTAATGGTAAAGAGATCGAGAACTGGAAGTCTTTCAGATTTTGATATGGGACTTGAACATTTAAAGAAGACACAATTTGATTGCCATTTGATGCGTAGGCAGCCACGACTTCAGACGGAAGATTTTTGTAAAGGACAAATGACGAGAGGTATAACTTGCGGATGCTATTTTCCTCCAAAATGCACTCACAGTCAACTGTAACAGAACTGAGTGGAGAGAATAGTAGATTTTTATAGTACAAAAATGCAGATCCTTTCTGTGGAATAACACCAAATTTGACAAATAAGTCAGGTTTAACTGTACTATTTTTGGTTATCACATTGAAAAGGATAGTTAAATTTTCTGACTTGATGCTGATTTTCAGCATTTCGACAGGAAGTAGCGGAGACACAATCGTAGACCAAGAGTCAAGAGGCAGCGACTTCTGATGCATAAAACTAACCATGTGTTTATTTTCATCTATGTTGAAAAGCGCAACAAAGAAAATTTTGTCAGAGTGGTTTTCGATGAATGAGCTGAATGCGATCTGTCCCAATTTAGAGGAGGATTCAATGTTTATGTAGCCATTGTTGTAATTCACGATCACATTGGTGTTTTCTTTGCTAAAAGAAAATTTGCCAGAGGTACCGACTTTGTGGGTAGAATTGTTCTTGATGAGCAGTGACATTTTAAGTATTTTTGTAGGTTGTGCGTGGGGGTAAAATTCAAATTTGACATTGAGATGAAAACGCTCAACTGCTGGGAAACAGGCCCAATCTAGCTTATGAGAAACATTAAACACTTGTAAGTTAAAAGAACCCCAGCTTAGTTCCGTTTCTGGCCGCTTTCTATGTTTTCGAAGATGAAGTTCAAGGGAAACTTCATCCAAAACGGTAATTTGCAGAGTATCCCAATTTTTCTTGAAAACGATTTCGACTGGCTTGTTTCGAATTCTTTTAAAATTGACTCGACTTTTGAGGGACACCTCTTCATCCGAGTTGGTCACATTCACTGACAGCCCAGTTAGGTGCTTGATCTTTAGAGGAGCTTCAAACATGTCTTCACTTTCCGTCATACTTGCTTCAAAAGAGTATTGCGAGGAGGCCTCATCGAATGATACTGATAAAAGTCCAACTTTTAAATTGGCGATGCTACAGCTGGAGGAAGAGTCATTATGATGAGAGCATTCGGAGATATTTAGTGGCTCTTTTGAGGATAGTTGAACCTTAAAAGAGTTGTCGACCAAATTAAAGGAGCCCAAGTATTTGTGGGTAGGTGTGAAGAAAGAATAGTCGAAGATGTGCTTCAATGATGCCGATGTCAATCCAGAGAAAGTTGCCGTTAATTCGTAACCGGGCAAGGAAATAAATAAAAACTTATTCAAGCTATTGATTGTAAAATCAGATGTATAAGTCAATTGATAAGATGGTGTTACCACATAGAACATTTTTAGTGATGAAGTATCAGTCTCAATGCTATGTCCTCCAAATTTCAGCGTTAAAACGTGCGATGGTGTTTCACTTGTTACTGTGGCATGGAATTCATTATCAAGTTTACAACTACCTTCATATGAGTACAATAATTCGTTTATAGTGATGTTCGAGTTCATTTTCAATTCTTTCCACAGATCATACTTGCATGAACCATTAAATTTTATTGTTGGAACTTCAAAGCACAAGAATTCTTCCAAAATTAGGAGATCTATGGACTTGGTGACGCTATCGAAATTAAAATCCAATCGAATGATATTATCTTTCTCAACAATATCCCCCGATAACTTTAGTAAGAAATTGAATTTTCTTGAAGTCGGAGATATACCGAAATGCAAGTGATTGCTCAATTTTGATAGGAACTTAAATGGCGACTCTAGGTCTAAATCCCACCGCAAAGAATCATTTTCAGGACTAATTGGTGAGCCAGACAAACTAAAGTCAATCTTTGTAGCATTTTGAGACAAAGACGGAAGTTTAACTTCCACAAATAGACGCCTTTGCCAAATGCTTTGGCTAAAGTCTGGGTTGATGTAATTAAGAATTATTTCATCCGTTTCATTACCATATTTCAAAGTTACGTTGAGTGCTTTCGACTGCCTTGAGATACGTCCTTGAATTGCAAAGTAAGAATCTCCTTCTTCTAAAAGATCCACATTATTTTTGCTCTGCCTCTTGCTCAGATATGCAAATCCAGTTCCAGCCTGCGGTCCCACGACAATGCCACCTGAATAATAACCACTGGAGAAGGGTAAAATCTGTTGGTATGCGTCGAAAGTCAAGTACAGCAATTCTTGAGAGGTCAAATCATATGCTAACATCACTGAGGTTAATTCTTCACCACTGTGTCCTATTTTCATCCTAAAAGTCTGTTCTTGAAGCGAGACTTCATATTTAAGGTCTTTGAGGATAAATGACGGAAATATTACATTTAGATTACCGGTGACGTTGAACTTCTCTATCAAAACATTGCAATTCAGTTTGTAGTCAGCATCATTAACGTGAGCAGCTAGACTAATGTTGTTTTCTTTTGAGCTTGGGGAGGTCAGCTCAAATTTAACATTTATATTTTCTACAGCTTTGATTGTGGATAGTATGAGCATTTCAGCGGAGACCACCTTTGCTGTTACGCGGCCTCCAAACTTAGCTTTAAGCTCATGATTGTTCCAAGAAATGTACAGAGACGCTGATTTCACACTTGGATCATTGAAGTCATAGCTGCCCTTTACGTGCATGCGCCTCTGATTATTCAAAGATGATTCAAACTCTAAATCAAAATAGGAGCTGCGTATAGTGTATCGAAAATGACCTTCAATCTCATTGACTTGCTCATTGTGCTTTAGAGTTAAAATGATCGACTGCTTACCGCGGTTTTTATAGATACCTGAATACTCGTAAGTTCCAATGGGATGACAGTAACCTTTCACTTCAAAACTTGTCACGCCCACTTTATCAAAGTTTACGAGGCCAGTCATAGTGAACATTTTCTCCTTTCCTCGAAGGAAATTGAAGTTCATAGATTTTTGAGTCTTGTTGAAAGCAAGTAAGTAGTTGACCTTGATACTTTTTGATACATCAGGAAAATCTATCAACAGATTCATACTCTCAGGTGAACCTTTTAATTGCATTAAAACATTCTTTTTCGTCTCTAACTCTGCTTCTGGTTTCCATTTGGAAATTTTGATTGCAATGTTCATCACTGGAATTCTCTCACTACGTAAAGATATTAACCAGTTTCTCACTTTGCCATTCCATTCTAGTATGTTATTACCACTCACCAAAACAGAAAATTTTGGATTTTCAGGATCCGAATCAACTTCAAAAGATGCATCTATCTTGGTTTCGAAAGTCTCTTTGACCAAAGAGGTACCAAACTTTTCTCTAACTAGTGTACCATCAACAAAAGATGAGAGCTCGGCTGAAAGCAGGAGCAAAGAATAACCCTCTATGGGAGACTTGAACCTTAGCTGAAGTGTTTGGTTTGTCGGCGTGGAGGTGGACTGTGCTTTCAAGACATACACGCTCGAACCAACCTTTGTAGCTAATCTTGCTAATTTACTTTCCGACCTGATATCATAGTTGAGCATAACACTCATGTCCTGAAAATGACTACTTTTCACAGCAGCATTGATTGTGCTTCGATCAATGTTCAAATCAAACGTGAAATTAAGGAACAAAACATCATCATCCCATGAGAAACTGGAGTAAATTTCTTTAGATGGCTGGGCTCCAGTAGAGTTAACTTGAATGCTGAACTTGTGGTTATACTCAGATTGATAGTGGATGATAGAAGCAAAACGGTTCAGAGATTCATTATAGTTGAAAGTCAAAGCCCCTACAATCTTAGGTTCTCCTCCCATATTCACATTAAACTTCAGACTGCTACCAAGGAGGTCACTGTCCAGATCAGCAGTTATTTGATTTACTCGCAATTCAGCATCTACTTTCAAGTCAGTGCTCCAGAATTTCTCGGAGAGAGCTATCTCACTTTTGACCAGTCCTGGACCACCAGTACCTTGATAGAGTAATAGGTCTATTACATCTGACATTCCAAATTCTTCTGGTCCGATCAGATTATGAGAGTAAGAGAGGTTAAAGTAGTCCATTTCAGAGATAGATAAAACTGACCGGACAAAACTTTTTTTCACATCAAAACTTAGCTGGGTTCGGCTTTTAAGTTTGAAGGGCTCTTGGAGGGAGACAGCTGAGTCAGTGCCAGTGTTGTTCCAAAGGAATGACAAGGATGAATCCAGCGATGAATGCGCAAAGAGTAATGAGGACGAAACTTGACAGTTAAATTTTTGGCTCAGATAATTCATTTCAAGGTTTATCGAATCAATTTTCAAGAGATCATAGCTCAATTCGAAACTGGTTATATTCCAGATGTTTGTAAGTGACACACTCCCATTTTGCACCTTAGTTAAATTGAAATTTAATTCTTGTAGAGGCTCCAAATCTTTCTTCTGACTAAAAGCGAACTCTCGCTTAGAGGAAAAATCATAAGACAACGATGTCATAAAACGCATTTCGTCATTTCGTTTCCAGATCAATCTGTTTTCAGCAGTGAGATTTTGGAAGTAAAGGTGCGCTGAATAATCATCTTTCACATTTTGACCGGGATTAGAGACACTTAAAGTGACAGTTTTATTATCAATTGAAAAATCTGCTGATAAGTCGATACCCATGGGAAAGCTCTTATGATTCTTGACGGAAGATACTGCCAGGATAGATATGAACAGAGTACTCTCCAAGTTTGATTTTAAAGAAAAATTTCCTTTCAAAGAGTCAGCAGCCATTACTGAGTTGAATTCCACTTTTGAGAAGTCCGAAAAATTATAATTAGATGCGAAACTAATTTTCCTCACCCCAGGTAACAATGGACTGGAGACATTTAAAGCAAGATGGCCGTCAAAATCACCTTTGTCAATCATTGTATTTATGACATGACTAGATCCTTTGTGTTTGGCTGACACCACAAACACTTTCTTTTGCTGTGTAAGATCATAATTGAGTTCTACAAGAGAAGGCAGACTCTTTAAAAGTGACAGAGAGGTACTAAAAATAGCATCGACTTTTGAAAAACTATCAACGAACACTTTTAGTTTGAAAAGATCAGTAGAGTTTGCGGCAAAAGAGAACAAGAGATCCATTCCCTCTGAAACATTGCATTTAGCGTTTAAGGTGCTACGCTTTTTGTCTGACACTCGCAGAAGTTTCAAGTCAAATGATGAAGGGCCTGTTAATACACTACCATCCAAATCAAGGAACTTTGTTCCATTCCGAGCATGGAGAGAGATGGACTTATTTACTCCCTTGAAATTGTAGTCAAGGTGAAATTTCAATGTTTCACTTGAACGTGGGTTTTCAATTAGAATAACAGAACGAAGTAGAGAAAATGCAAAGAAACCAGAACGTGTCTTGCTTGTCTTTTGATTCACTCGAGTGTACGTAAATGTTGTTACATCTCCTTTTGGCGTTACCCATAAATCAAACGTTGTGTTTTGGTGAGGATGAGGTAGCAAGTTGGTTGTACACTTAAAATGAAACTTTCCTCCAGTTAGGTCTGAATTTGTTTCTGCTTTTAGCACTAACTTAGTTTCATTATTGAAACTAAACAAGAAGCTGACACTTGGGAGATTTTCAAAATTAAAATTGACATCGAGCCGAGAGCTGAGACTCTCGAAGAGGAACAAATGTAACATTAAAGCTGGTTTTGAACGCGAAAGATTGAAATGTGAGTCCAGTTTTAAACACACAGCATTTTCTTTTTCCACAATGAAGATTAAAGATTTTTCAGTGAGCTTCAGTTTGTCGGTTGATAAAACCCCTGAAGCATCCCAGTTGCCCAGAAATTGATCTCTTATTTTCATCGAGAAGTTGACTGAATTAAAGCCATTGTAAACTAATATCACATCAACAGAATTATTATTTCGTTTGAAAGACACAAATGGTACTTTCTCTTGTAAATTTGAGTGAAGAAGTACGGTCTGAAATTCAGAAAAAGAACTTGTGCAAGTTAATAAAAGCTCCGTTTGAGATATTTTCACTGATGAGTTGAAGTAAATCTCTGTCATTGAATCGTCCATCATGTTAAAGAAAAACTGGTAGTTGTTTTCAGATGCATCAGCAAAACGAGTCATATTAGCGTTTATCAAGTTGCGTTTCAAAATTGGGAGGTCCAAGAAGGTTTGAAGGGCAGCTTGATTTGCACTGCCAGAAAATGAAAACTTGTTAACACTTTCTCCTACTTGCAGATACATTTCAGCACTTAGCTGATCTTCAAGAAACTGGCTGATGTTATACAGTCCAGACATGTCAACAATTTTCCATGACTTCGGAAAACTTACATTAAAACGTCCCTCCCTGAAGCCTTTATTGTTGGGGTTGTATTCAGCGTTGAAAGTGCACAAATTGTTTGATAGGAAAAGTTCGGCTTGGACATGATGCTCTGTGGAATTCGGATAAGGATATCTTAAAGCAACGGTCAGATAGGAGTGTTCGTAGTTTTTGATGCTGGAGTTAACGTTCATCATGAGTTGAGATTGGATGCCAGTCTGAATCAATGATCCTTGCATCTTGACAAAATTGCCGCCAGAGGCTGCATCCGCAGTGAATAAATAGGAGTCGTCTTTCAAAAAATGAAAACTAGTGGAGAAGTCTTTTGAGTTTGGCAGTCCGGATAGAGTAAAGAAAGAGCTGTAATTTTGTTTCCGTGCATCAATTTGCATACCAGAAGTCAATTTAAATTCATTGATGCCAACACTAAAGTCTAAAGAGAGATCTTGCGTTTGATTCAACAAGCTGAAAGAGCCACTCATGACCCTAAATCCTTTATAAGGAGAGGTAACTTCAAGTTGGGCTGCCTTCTCATCTCTCTTGTTCCTCCATTTACCTGAGAACTTGGAGGTTTCGTCATTGTGAATATAATTAAGAGAGGCAGTTAGGTCATCGCTTGATAAATAGTCACACTCTCCGGCTAATGAGTAGATTTGTGTTTTCCCGAGAAAATTTGTGCTCAATGCAGCACTTGCTTTCATCGATGACCAAGTTTGCATGAATGTAGCAGACAGACTAGCAGAATCGGCGTTTTTTTCGTAGTTTACAACGGCCATTTTGACATTTTTAGAGGTATCGTAGTCAAGCGAAATTATCAACTTTTTCCACTGGTCGAACGGTGAATTCAACACTAGCTGAGCCTTACATTTGTTCTCCTGCAATTGCGATTCAAAAAGAATGTTGTACTTCTTATTTCTGAACATCGTGAAAAGTTCTGCATGCATATTGGAAGAGGCTAAATTGAAATTTAGCTGTGATACAGAAATCTGAGTAGAGTTTTGGGAAAAAGTTAGACTGCTATTCATGACTAGACCCTGCCGCAAATAGGCAAAGCGGGTTTCATATACATGCTGGTTATGCCTGAACACAGCCCAAGCAACTTTTAGTGGTTGCGCCCAGTCACATTTTACAGTTACGTGGCTGTTGTTGTGGTAAGGTGAGCTGAATACAACATCGTACACAAAATTAAGAGCGGTTGCGGCATGTCCGCTTGCTTTAACGCTAATTTCTTTGTTGTTCTGATACTGTAAAGTGAGAGAATGATCGCTGAACAGAAGTGACTTTTCTCCGGAGTCCAAAACAACAGTTTTGAAAGCTTTGAAAAAGTTGTACTTAGCATTAATCGGGTGAGACCACGGAGTTATTACAAGAAGCGAGCAGTTTTTGAGAGTACTATCATCATCATCAAAGTGCAGATTAACATCCAATGAACTTCTTTGCCCGGAGATTTCAGTAATCATTGAATGTCCAAACCAGCTAGTGTTATAGTTTTGCTCATTAGCGATTGAAAGAGATTTACTGCTAGACTTCATTAAGATGGAGTTTTTCCAATTAAGCAAATTTTGTAACAGGAGACTGTGTTCTAACTTCATTCCAAAAGGTAAAATTATGAGAGAATCATACTCTAAATCATTGTGGGAATGCTGAAACATAATATCGTAGTCTTTTCTAAATGGAGAACCAGACATGGAAAACTGACACTGAACCAGTGTTTCATCGATTTCATTGATATATTCTCCATTTAACTTTAGTAAAATGTGTTCTTTGTTCCACTTGCCATTCAGGGAGCAGTTCATGCCCTGCGATTCAAATTTATTGACAATTTCAAGGAGAAGAACACTGTTTGTTGTTGCAAAATCTGTTTTTACAGCAAAGTCTGCATAGTCCTGAAAACGAAAATCAATGCTGGCCTCAACCACAGTTTGTTTCGATGATCCAGATTTGACGCTGAACTTTTCAGAGAATTTGACATCATCCCAGTCATGACTGATGAAAATGTGAAGAGTGTCTAGTTTTGTAGGACATAACAGCATTAACGACCCATCAAATCCGGAATCTCTACTTTTGCCTAGGAAAGACGCTGCGGCTTTCTGGTCATTGAACTGCGCGGTAATTTCTGCCTCTCTCCTTGAGGTTGTTGTGAGAATATCTGTCGAGTCTTTGGACTTGAACTGGAATGTAAAGAGTTTATAATTTTTAAAAGGAGACATAAATTCAGTTCCTATGTAATTAGGCAAATCAATCGAGTACCAAAAAGTAATATTTTTGTTAGGTTCCCACTTGGTTTCAAATATAGCGTAGTTGAGCGAGCTGGCCATAACAAGGTTGCTAGTGAACGAGGTTAAAGCTTTCGTTGGACTGGTGAACTTGAAATTCAAACGGGACTCTGTCTGATTTTTACTCAGGTCCATATGAAGGAGGGGCATAGCGTAGTTGTAGGTAGAATCCAAGCTGGTTTTCAGTCCATTATCGTCAGAGGTGTAGTTAAAGGAGACATCAACAGCAGTTAGATCTGAATAGTCATTGAAGTAAAGGAAGTTAGCTGCTGTCTTGTGATTACTGAATATTGTCTCCACTTTTGCGCCGAGTTTCCTTTCAATCCATGCACTTGGTGAGTTATCGTTATGAGCAGAATCAGGACGAGTAAAATATTGCGGGCCAAGTCGTTCGGAACCAAAGTAGTCCAGACCCTGACCTTCTAACAAAGGATCTGACATTTCATGCCAAGATAACGAAACCTAGAAATCGGCAGAAAAACAAAGAATGTTAATAAGAAAAATGTTTAAAAATTGAGAAAAATACGAAAACCTTATTTTAAACTTATTAATCAATTTGATCACTAGATAGTAGATATTGCATATTGGATACATCCAAAAAAATACTTATTAATTCTCTATTCAGATACATCAAAATAACACGCTAGTGAAACTTAGAGATGCATATCTTGCGTTGCTGTTTTGCAGACATCCGGTCATATTATATTTCCTACGTAGAAAATTACTGAACGTCTTTTTTTTAAAACTTCCCTAATTTTTCTTCTCGATATGAAGAATAATAGGTGAACATTTCAAGCCATTCTGTAGGTGCATTCTCCTTTTATAAAATAAAATAGGAGCAGAGATTCTGAAACACCACAGCCAAGATACGTGTTTGTCTAGTTTCACCATCGAAAAGCATTAAGATGAAATCTTGTCAGCACTGTCTTGGATAAGACATTCATTTTCATAGTTAGCAATTTGTTTTTAATTGACTATCGTATTGTATGTTATTTAAAAAAAAGTGTTTTAAAAAAGAAAGGGGGGGGGGGGCTCTGCTCAGGCGTTGTGATGGTTGAAACAAATATTGGTAATTTAGACATTCATAAAAATTCAAATATAATAGGAGAAAGTTACAATTCAACCACAGTCAGATAACAAGTACTTTGTACTTGGTACACGGTCCAATAATTGGAAAGTGTTTGGCAGTGTGTTTTCATAATGAAGCAACTTTTTGGCTTAATTCTCAGGCCTAGTGATACTTGAAGAATTTGCTTGACTTAAAACTAAAAATTTTTTGGAGAAAAAATGAGGACTCTTCAAACTTTGAGGCGTTTTTCAGAGAAGGGAAAAGTTTTATGTTTATGAAAACACTGTAATAGACCAAGGCAGATAAAGGACAGTGGTTGCACCTTGTACCCTCTTGATATCACACAGTTTTGGGTACATCCGGTACATATGCCGGTTGCAGCCGGGAGGTTCGCCCGACGCACTGCATGCCATGGTCCAGTCTCCGATTGCACGGCAAAACCCGTACCCTCGACCTAACGTCACAAATCTTCAAAATGGCAGCCAAAATCGAAATACGACCATCATTCATTCTTTATCCACCTTTAAGATGGACATAGTTCCTTTCTGCTAAATGATACCTAGTTACAAAGCAGACAATTTGATTGCTTTCCAAATCATCTTCCCAAATCCATCTTCCTAAACCAATTGAATAAAAGAGAAATAATAGATTTGACTGCGGGTCAAGATGTATTGAGTTTTCTGCTTTTTTTCCGAAAGTTATCATACTTTTTCCTTTAAGGAAATTTTAGTATTACCTTGGTAGATGTTAATGTCCAAAAGAAAGAACTATCTGCAACAAATGATTCTTCCGAGATTTCTTTGACGTGTATGAGATCGATCCATTGTAGCTCAAAGTTTTTGACTGGTGTTACAATTGAGGTTGAGAGAGTCAATTCTTGACGAGTTGTATTTTTTCCTAGGTCACTGTTCAAATGTTGGAATTTATGGTCCAACAAGTGCCCATCCAGTTTCAGTTCACCGCTTATATTTTGCTCACTTTCACCCCAACTTGTGGAGAACAAGAAGTTATGTTGGAGGGAACTACAAAAAAAGAAAAGAATAATTTAATTGTTAAAATTTATTTTGGATTTTCCTGATATATTAGACAAGATTCCCTGCTTTTTTGCAATAGTAAATTGATACTCATTTGATTCAAAAAGAAAAAAGAAAAAGAAAAAAAAAACATCTAATAAAATGAATCATATGTGTGAAAAAAGCTTGAAACGCTCATAATTTCTTGATCCATGACCAATTTTCCTGATAACCCCAATGGTTTGCATTCTTACTTTGTTTCCAAGTGCAAAGAATTTCTTATCAGACCCCTTACATCTATTTCCAATAAATCAGTCGAGTTCGATGTTTTCTTAGGAGCTGGAAATTGAGCTTCATAACTCCAGCCTTCGAGAGTCAAGACCCCATTAATTAACCCCTGACATTACCTCCTCTTTGGCTGTTCAGTGAAACCTTGAATATGTTTTTTAAAGACAATTAAAGTTCATAAAATGTAAATGCTCCTGAAGGAAGGAGGACTGAGACTCCATTTCAGGTATGCTACACAGAGGAGGGTAGGCAGCTAGAGCTGTTACGTAAAGCTACAATGAACTCTTGATGCTGATTTATGTTGATTGTTATTCCTGCAATTGGTGCCAAGCCATTTTGACTATAGTAGATTTAATATTGGTACATGACCTATGTCTGTTAAAACCGTTAGTAAATTAATAAATCTCTGGCTAAAAAATGTGACACTTAAAACCTTTTTTATTCTTCCAATATAAATGTAATTCTTTTTCCTCCATTTCTTATTTTGCAAGACCAATATTTATAAAATTGATTTTTGTAAAATATCAGAGTTCAGTACTTACTTTTCTTGTTTTTCCGATGTTAGCTTCATCTTTAATCCCATAAATAGCTGTTCCAGGTACAGCTTGCCAATTTTCTCAGCCTCTGAGTTGTAAAGATATATGCCGATGGTTTTATTCCTGTTTCCATTGTAATCCCAGAACAGCTTGCCGTCGATCTCTTGTTTGCCTGAGGCATTTTTTTGCTGAAATTAGAAATAACATTTAATGGAAGTTATTCATGTATTTATCATTGAGCATCGCTTTCTCTCACTGAATGAATGCAGGAGATACTTTACATAGATAAAAATATACTTGAAGCGCAGGTATTAAGGAAGAAACATACTTACATTGAATTCAAAATGTATACATTTTGACAGGTTTAAGTCCATTACTAAATGACTCTCATCATCAAGACTGTCCCCTTTAATTTCTCCAGTGTACTTTTTGAAAGGCGTCTGCAGGTGAAATTTGATAGATAGGTCTCCTTGACTGTAAATAAAACCAAATTCATAATTTCATCATTCATTGAAATGTATCATTACAGGTGCTCCAACAAGGAAAGCTGATTAAATTATTGGTTGCTGATTAGAAAAAATCAATTATTTTTGGATACTTATTGGTTATCTACTTGAAAGAACTAAGCTTTTTCTTTGGTTTTAAAAGTAAAAAAATGGCTTTATTCTTCCACTTGTAGCAAGAAAGGTGCTGCGGGCAAACAGATACGAAAATTATTTGATTCAAGACAGTGTTAAGCAGGCACCACACGAGGAATGATATGATGAACATAAGAGGAATGATAGAGAAGTTATGAGATCCAGATGATGAGTGGACTTTAGTAGTCGACAACTTTAATTTTCTGGAAAATGGTATTAGTTGAAATTAGAGAGGACCAGGATTGCAGAGGACAAAAATGTAGCAGAACAGAGACAATTCAACAGAGAAATCCTATTTGAACAGACATATTGCACATAAATTGCATAGGAGTGAATCAATTATAAAAGCGCGCTGCTATTTTAGAAAATGCAAAAAAAAAAAAAAAAAAACTACACATCCTTGCAAGATTTAAAGAGTGAATTTTAAAATCTAAAATTTATGGAAAAAACCAAGGAGAAATCGTTTACTTGGTCATTAAAGGAAATAATGGGCCTGTTGCAAACTTTTGCTAGAGCAGAATGAAGAGTTGTTTCCCATAGATAATGCCTCAAAAATCACGATGAGCGCATCGGCAAAGTCTGAAATGCACTCATAAATTCACAATCTGCGTAAGAAATTTGCATTATTTTGAGCTTCCCGCTTCAAAAACGATACTACTGCACAGGTGAACATTTTGTTAGAGGAGTCGCTCCATCGTCGGCAATATTCATCATGGCCGACGCTTGCGCAGTTCCTCGCGTAATTCGAGGAAAACTCAAGGTCAATTAAGGCGGGCGAGGAAAATTTGAACGTAAACACGCCGATTGTTATCTGGTTTAATCCTGTTCAGGTGTTATCTCGTCCCATCACACGTGTTTTGGCGGACTGGCGTCGGCCATGATGAGTATTGCCGCCAATGGAACGACTCCTCTAACAAAATGTTCACCTGTACCGTAGTATCGTTTTCGAAGCGGGAAGCTCAAAAAATCGCAAATTTCTTACGCAGATTGTGAAGTTATGAGTGCATTTCAGACTTTGCCGATGCGCTCATCGTGATTTTTGAGGCATTATCTGTAGGAAACAACTCTTAGTTTTGCTCTAGCAAAAGTTTGCAACAGGCCCATTAAAATACTTGTCTACACTAGCATTCTTCTTTGAATATATTTTAAAATAACCATCAGCTTTTATTTATACTTCCACGCTACGAACCTTCGACTGACGAGTGTGTAGCTTGCGCCATAATCCTTGAAAGATGCATCCAACTTAACATATCTGGGTTGCTTAAATGTATCTATTGAGTATTTGAAATTTAGTGGATTCCTGTCAGATACTGCCTCGGGAAGCTTGATGGTCAAATAAAAGGTGTGGTAATTTTCTCCGAGAACTTTGTTGAAGAGGAGAGATTTATATCCTCCATCTATTTGCAAGTGTTGCGTTTTGCTGTTACCCGTTGTCCAGTTACCCTTGACATATAGGGTCATATAGTCGGGGATGGCAGATCCTGTTTGAGGTGAAAGCTCCTCCTTGTCAGAAGACTGCCCCAAATTTTGTGATACGAGCGATGCGGAAAGAGCACCTTTGTTCCATGGAGAAAGCACTGTTAAATCAAAATTCCTGTCAAAAGTTGATTTCTTGTCATAGGAGGCGTCCAGTGAGATTTTCTGCAATTCGTTTAACTGTGCTAAAAATTTTAAATCTACCTGCTTGGCTTTCATCTGTAAAAAAGAAAAGAAGATAGTCGTTTTCATCTACGCATGGGTGCCCCGGATCTAATGCATATGCCTTAAGGGTAGAGTCTTCAGGTCAAAATGGGGATTTATGCCTTAAGAAATTGAGGAGGGATTGTAGAGGGGAAGCAAGGTATAGCTTATAAAACTTTTGTAAAAAAGTTGATTTATTTGAGTTGCAGTAGAAGTAATGAATCAATTGACCGGAAATATATTTTGCTATAGAAGTTTTTTGAGTTCCATTTGTTTCTGGCCATAGAGAAATTACAGGTGAAGACTGAGGAAAATGGAAGTTTGCATGAGTTTTGTATGTTAATTGTCAGAACTGATGGGTTTTGTTTTGTTTTTAGTTTTTTTTTATCAACCAAAAATCACACATGCTCCACTAAAGGCATGGGTGTATTTTGTGTCCAAAAACACATAAAATTCTTTACATATCTCCAGACAGAACAGAATTAAATGCAGGCTCTTTTCTAGAAAAATTTTTGTGGGATCTACAGGATATAGCATTCTGTTGATAACAATTCAAAATTGGTCCTGGGGGAAGAAACTTTTAATGCATGACTATCACGAGTACCTGATAATCCAACTCCAGGGAATAGTCCAAGTTTTTGGAAGGATTTGCAAGCGAGGCTTCTACGGTAAAGTACACATGACCGGCTGCCGTCCGCCAGTTGCGATAAAACTGTCGACTTTGCCAATCAGAACCTCCAATTCCAAGAGTTGTGTTCATATCAAAGAAGTTTTGGCCACGGATCAGGGTCCATACAATTTTACTGTTGTAGGCAGGAAATTCTGACGACTGAAACAAGATCAAGCAATGAATTTTGACACTATGTTACATCACATAAGCAACATATTAATAGCACTTGAGAGTCTTAGGGGATAATGCCGCACTGTTAGACGTTTTAAAAACACATGTTGGCTGAAGCTTACAGTTGTGAAAAGGTTCAAGTGGAATAGACCTGGAGAAATATCTACCACATCGTAAGGCATAATTTACTCAACACCATAGTTTATATTAGTCTGAGTTTATTTTACACTCACTATGTTATTGCTTTACACACTTTGATTTTGTATTTCACTCCAAAAATTTTATATTGCACCAATCTAGAAAGCGTAAAAATGTTTTTCAAAATTCTGAATGATCATGAGGATATTAAATTGTTAGGTAACATCAAATTACATGTGACAGATAACCGTTTTAGATTTACCTAAAGTTAATGTTCACTATACTCACGGCAAAGAAAAATTCATATAGAGACTTTAATAATACTACCGACTCTTGGTGAAAAGATAGCTCATTAACATCTTAACTTTTATGAAAAATTTCATGTAGAATATTTTGTATATGCGTATTTAAAAATATACATATTATAAAATTTATAATATAAATATGGTAATAATGCAGTAAATAATATAATAGTGTACAGTAATACAGAAGTTTAGTATTAGTGCAGTAGTAATGAAAATAAACATTGTAAGTCTGGTTTATGAGAATATGACTACTATTTCTGCAAAATTTGAATTAATAAAAGATTCTACCTTCACAGAGAGTTGCATTTTGTCTTTCCAGGACACACTTTTCATTACATTAGCCCACAGATAAGAGACACGAATGTTCTCAGATCTTTTGCCGGGCAATGAGTAAGTCAAGCTGAATTTTGAGTCCACTCGCGAGGGCAAAGTCTTGAGGTTACCTCCAATATTGAGAATATTATCCTCACCGGATGCAACATTGAATACGAAATTTTTTGTGAAGTCCAGGAGTGCCAGGTTGACTAAAAATTCAGAGAAAGAAATAATATTATATAAAGATTATGATTTATTTTTGTTGTAGCCTTCCACTCAGAACTTTTGACTGAAAAAGAACCCTTCCAGGGTGTTGTGAGTTCATATCTACATATTTACGGGTATACATTTTCAGTCATTTCTTAAGTATAGAGTTCTACAAATGATACAAGAGGCATTTGGTATTCCTGTTTTGTACCAATGATTGCAGTTGCCATCAATATGTTGACACTTTTTTTAAAAGAAAAAATATTAGACTTTCAGTTTTGCAAGTCTCTCATACAAATAAAGAAAAGAGAAGTTTTTGACTTGGCACCACAGAAATGAAAAAATAAAAAATAAACGAGCAAAATTTTTTGAGAAAGCAGCAGATACCGTTGGCAGAGAGTGGTTTGTTGGTTATGCCATGCAGCTCCACCGAAGATCCGACATACTTTCCTCCTACTTGATAATACATATTTCCTTTTCCATGAATATGTGGGAATTCAAGGAGTTTTACATCCCAATTGAAGTCATAACTGTGAACAAAGCCAAAAAAAGTTTTAGTTTGTGTTGTAAAATAAATTTGTGTATAATGGAAGATAGATGTGGCGATGTCTCTAAATAAGAGCGACAACTTTCATTTCTGTAGTCTAGGAGAATTGATAACCCTTATGTATGTCTTCCACCTCATGACAATAGGGTGAGGTAAGATACGGAAAAAAACTATCCAACACCGAACATCAGGCGCCGAGCTCAGAGCTATCGATGTTTTCTACAGTTGATTTTACCTTTACTGGAGCCTATAGGAAAATTTACAGAGAGCATGATTGAGAAAAATTTTAGTTTGTTCATACTTTTGCTGCGCAGACTCTGCTCCTGATTTGCGAGCTAGACTGCAGTCGAGAACAGCCAGACTGGTGTTGTGGTATTCTGCTTGAGCATTGAATCGAATCAGACCATCATTGGAATCCACAAAGTAGCTCACTTCGAACTGGCGCTCAACTTTTGAACCAGGGGTGTCAAAGAAAATTACTGCACCATTTGCGCTGCGAATAAATGAAAAATGAAAGGATATAACTAGCTGGAACTAAAAAGATTCAAGAGCAGGTTTAATGAAATTGCTGCAATAGGTCAATTGAGCTAGTCACAGAATCATGTTTTTATGGTTTATGCTCAGAGATTAGCAAAATATAATAAGATCTGTCCAAACACCTGGAAACATTTCTATTTGTTTTCCTTGAAGCAAATCAAACATAATCCAGGGTTTTTGACATTGCGATCGGGATACGCATTTTTTGCATTTATTCATCGATTCATTGTTCTCTTTGTTACTCACTGGGCAGGTGACTTTTAGCTTAATTGGTTCAAGAAATTCTGCTTGCAGTGCTTATTCAATAAAATGACGAGGAAATGTGTATCTTCCAAATTTCCATGGCCTTACAGAGAACAAATGGTGAAAAAAATTAGGGCAACTAGAATATCTATGGTTCAAGAAATTCCATATAAAAAAATAAACCAAATGTGTAGGGAAGTTCTCAGAGACATAATTGTTGAAAAACCTCTCACGGTTTAGGAAAATATATTACCTTGGGCTGACGTCTGATCTCTGGTTTTGATACTTGAGGTGATAAGCAGTAAAATTATCAAATTTTTGAAGCTGGGTGGAGAATTCAAAAGGTCCAGTCAATGGGAAGTAGGGCGCATTGTCGAATTGAGAGGCATTGGCATATCTAGATTTTAGAAAATGGGGAAAAAACTTAATTAGAAAATGATTTAGAGAAAATTTGACGTTCCATTAGTTCATGAAATCAACAATTTTTTTTCATTCTTTGAGATGTTGGGGAATTTAACTATCTCAATCTGATTTTTAAGGTAACTTGATAAATTAGTGAGCACAAATCTAAATCGTTTCAGCACAAAATGACAGTTGCTTTTTTGAAGGAAACTAAAATATACTGGGTTAGACAAAAATGCACAAGCCACATTTTGGGAAAAAAATGAGTTAGGAGTGAATGACTTGAGCCCAAAAGATTTTTCCTAATCCATGTATTAAATGAAAAGTAGAGATCCCATTTTTTCGAGATTTACAGTCGCTAAAAATCCTAAAATTTTTGCTATAAACTGCCAAATTCTTGCTTAAAATTTATCGCATTATCTCATTTTCTTCTTTCTTAGAATCTTAGGATCCAAGGATCACGAGGTAAACTTTTCTCATTAAAGAAAAAAAAATGTAAAAAAGAAAACTTGTTGAAAAACTTCACAATGCTAAACACGAAAAAGACAATTTCTTTCTTAATTTTCCAATTACGACTGCAATTTACCGGTTTCAATATGAAATATGTCAAAATCTATGATGTATTCAATGGTGTATGAAATTTGCGAAATGCTTGATTACATATTCGAAAACAGCAAAATTCCATGATGCCTTGGGGCTTCATCGTGATGCTGAACAATGGTTTTTTTGAAAATTCGTGCAAATCGCACCGCAGAATTTCTGAGGTCTTTAATGAGGAGTTACGCTCGTGGAAATTATTAATAGATTATAGATGAAAATACCTAAGTTTGGAGCATGCCTGGAAACCGACCGCTTTTGAGAGCTTATCAGGCGTACAATACTCCCACTCCTCGCTATCCTCCGTAATTCCATCCACCTCTGTTTTGACGCCATTTTCCATCGTAAATAACTTTGAAGAAACGCTGAAAATATCACTCTCCTGACGCGGGAAATTAAGTTTTACATCTAAAACTTTTGCAGAGTCGAAATCAATCTCCAGATCCAAATACGAATTTGTGTGAAGCTCACTGGAAGAATACAGTCCGACTGAATCCACGACTGCATCCATTGTTATTTCACCATTAATTTGCACAACAGCACTTGGGTTGAAAAAAAGCTTGATATACGCTGCTGAATTGGGTTTAAAAAAGTTCTCCAGCGATGACTGTACGGACGATTGGAATTTCAATGCTGCTGTTCCGTTGATCTTCAGCTTCAAAGGGAGTCCGATGCTGGTAGGACACTCATAAGACAAGTCAAGAAATCGGGTTGACTTTGAGAAATCAACTTGTGACTGGAGCAATTTTCTTAGTATATCATCAAACTCATCTGACAAGTTAATCACCTCTTTCACACTGTCAAACTGCTTCAAGTACACCTCATTACCCAGAACTCGGCTGTATATTAAACCTTGGGGGCTTTTTAGGAGTGTGCGGCTAGACATAAATGTGTCAGAAAGTTCACTGATTTCATTTTCTTCAAAACTGCTTTGAACTTTTAAGTTTTTGAGCATGCTTCTAATATTTTTGTCTGGGTAGTAACCATCTGGGTCAAAAATTCCTTCCACAATACTCTCAAAACCTAGAAACACAAAGAAAATTGAAATCAACTTCATATTTTGAGACATTCAGTGGTGTAAAAGCATCGGTTTTAATCAACCTTCTGGAGAGGGTTTTAAGCTTATCATTGATAGAAATGCTCAGCAGGGGTGCAGAAATTTTTTTGCCTCTTCATTTTTTGAGGTAGCTTTCACATATTTTAAGGCAAAATCAAGTCAAAATGAGACTGAGGCAGCAAGATAAAAACATAAAATAAAAAACCCAGGATGTTTTGCAGTGTCATAACTGCATTATCAACCAGAAAAAAAGGAAAATTAAGAGGAAATAGAGCTAGCCTCACCTTTTTGCTTTTAATTCAGATATATGGAAACTAAGGTTATTGTACTGCATTTGCACAAGAGGAAATCCATATTTATTGACCATTTCAGGTTAATTTTCTGACAAATAAGGCCCGCATGGTAACAAAATCAATTCGTCAAACTCAATTTTCCTATTAGGCTTCACACAATGCCCTTTACCTATTTTCTTGCACGATGGTGTTTTACTTGACCTGTCAATGGAAGGAGGAGGATAACAATTCTCAACTAAAATTTATTTCCTCATCTGGATCTTCTCAGGTAAAAATTGATGGTCTGAAAGCCTGAAAATCTGCTGCACCAAGTTCAGAACAACATTTTTCTTATAAGCATCCGGTTGCACAGATAAGTGGTTAGGGTAATCGCCCGATGAAATTGGCTTTTGGTACCATTCACATTTTACCATGTTATCACAACGCGACACAGTTATGTCAAGCAAGTCAATTTTACTATCAATTTCTTCCTCCAAAGAATTAAATTTTCTTTCCTTTCTTTATTCTTTTTCCCCCGGTTGAAAATGCAGTTGTGATACGACGAAACATCCCGGGTTTTTTATTTCATGTTTTTATTGGGCAGTCTCAGTCCCATTTTATGTCGATTTTATATCATCGTTTCGGTCCGATTAAGTTGTCTTTGTATCACATTTAAAGGCTACCTTCACATTGCTGTTCCTATAAAACTTCCTCCACTTCACATTTTTGGGTCAGTCTTAACATTGCTGTTCATGTAAGATTGTGCGCTTCACTATTTTCTTTGCATAATACACACAGTTTACAGTTTCCTTTGCTGAAAGTAATGCACTTAGCAGTTTTTGTCTGGAGGAATAATTTGTTTCATAATTTTATTCATAAGAAGTGCAACCATCACATTTTTCCCACTTTTTGGTAGCCTTCAAAAAACCCTTTTTGGCTGCCCTCACATTTTTTTGCGCGATCAACAGCAACTGGATCGGTCATATGGTCACCGAAGTTTTGCACCCCTGATCTTAGGTAACATTAAGCAAAAAAAATGCCTCTGAACATGAGATAACAAATTTTTTAAAGACCCTCTTTCCCTCACCAATAGATGGACGTGTAAAAATGAGCATCTGCATGGCATTGTGTGCTTAAAAGAAGGAGGGAATTTTCAAAAAAATATACCACTAAAAGAGTGCCTTTCAATTTATGTATGTCGCAGGCAATTAGCAATCGCCGGCAATTTGCAAGCGGTTCATACGTTGTTTCAATAAATCGCATCCTGCCATGTTTTAAGGGTGGAAAAGTGCCTATTCACATTAAAGGCAACATAATCAGCACTGTAATCTTGTTCTTTTATTTTTGAATTTTATAATATTCTATATTTATTCACCACTGGCTTGTAAATTGCCGGCGATTGCTAATTGCCTGCGACATGTACATATGCAAGCGCCTTTCAATTTATGTACATATGACTGAGTAAAGCGCTTTTATATGCACGTGTGTATAATTGCACACGGGCTGACAATGCTTAGTTTAAAAAGTGTTTGGTAGCTTTACAAATTGACATCATTAAATTAATAACATTGGAAATTGGTATATACCCTCAAGTCTTGCTCCGAAATCAAACAAGTTGACAGACTCGCCAAAGACATCCACAGTGAGGTTGAGACCCAGAGACCTTGGTAAGTATGATTCTGGGCTGAAAACGACATTAGCATCAACAGCAGAGCCCACATTGATGGAATCAAAGTATGTAGTGCCTGCATAGTTCCGAGAAAATCTTCGTGCATCGGTGTTGAATTTGTTTTTAAGTTGACTTTTGGCAATAATAGAGCGAATTAGATGCTGGTAGGGTGAGTGCTTCTTATTTAGGTTCTCAAGGTGGGTCCAGACAAAGGAGCCGACTGCAAACCAAGTTTGAAGAGATATTAGTTTAAATCTTTTTGAGCCGCAAATATATATAAAAGGAAACATGTTTAGGGGCAATTACTTAGCTTTGATCAGATTTCCAATCTCTTTGCCTACATTAAGGGTTACAAACCAACCTTAAGTACAGAGCATTTATTCTTAATTTTTACACAGCAATTATAATTAGAAACAATGTATTTTCAGTCTCTTTTTATTTCAAATGACTTTAACAGAAATGGGTTAAAGGTCACATTACACAGTCACTTCAGGGACGATGGTGGATTGGAAATTTTCGTACTAAAGAGAGCAAAAAGCTAAAAAAGTGGGACTACAGAGCCAAGACTGCTATTGTTGACTAAAAATAGAAATTTTAACGATTGATTAGAGCAATTTAACAGTTAGGCATGACATTGAACATATAATGGTTGAGATGGGTGTTCATATCAATAGCTGGTTTTTCACATTATAGAAAAGTATCAATTTTCCATCAATATATTATATCGCAAATTTATTTGCCAAATTGGTAAAAGAATGTTAGAAATGGCAACACAGTTCCTAAACTGCGACAAAGAAAAAAAAAACGTTTGGAGTTCTAAAGATAATAAACTAACCTTGGTTGGTGTTTTCAACAAGAAGCGTGTTCTTGACCAAAGTGAACAAAAAATCAGAGGGACAGCGCATGGATGCTAGGTAGGCAGCAATGCGCACCTCAGGATTTTCTTTCAGCTCTGAGTAAATATGAAGCACCTTCGAAGATCTGACCATGTTACAATCCATTCTTCTGAGGGCATCAATGGCTGCAAGACGAATTTTTACTGCATTATCAGAGCTCTGAAAAAACGAGGAAGCAGGTAAGCCTAATTGTTTACCAAACCGATTTTCATAAATCATTCTAGATAGTCTCAAAGAGGATGGTAATCCAATAGACAAGTTGGGCTAAATCAAAAGTCCAAGGTGGGTAACAAACGGAAGTGAAAGTCCTATCTCTTAAAACACTTTTCTGTTAGACTTCTACAAGTGCCAAGAGTTAAAATTATGACATCATACCGGGAAACATAGCTCTGCCACCAGCGTTACCATTACCCACCTGGCAACTGCCGAAAAAAACATAAAACATTCCTGCAACGTTAATTTTGGCAGTCACTTTGGGACAACATTTTCGTGATCACTTTTTGCCAGACAAATAATGTTTGAAGCTTATCTTTTAGGGTTTCATCATCTTTGAATGAATTTCCTTGTTTAGAGATCTTATTGATAAAGGCATTCAATAGCTTTTTAAAAGATGAAAAGCCTTGAAAATGACAAGAAAGGGTAAACAGCTGGAAGGTCAGTGATTGGTAAATGTGTCAGCAATTCCCAGACGATTCCCACAAATTCCCTGAATTTTCACAGTCGCCACAAATTCCTTGATTTAACACGTTTTCAAGATAGCTGGCAACCCTTATGTTTGTAATCATTCTCCAGTGGATTGGATAAGTGTATTTAATTAAGGGTGGCAATTATGTATGAATACTTTGTAATACTTCAAAAATGCTTATAATTATTGATATGTGGTTTGGATAATTTTCAAGAGATACTTGAGAATTTTAGACGGAAAACCTATTTCTGTTAAACTTTGCTGTAAAAGGCATTTAAAAAGATAATAATTTGGCATAAATTGCAAGTCAATGTCTATCAGAATGTCAAAATGACAAACGTCTAAAGTACACGTTTGGCTGAGAAATTTTAAGTTAGGTTTTTGGCACCTAACATAATTTTTCCTACTCCATCAATTCACATCATAAGATCGACATTGATTTTTGGGTTGACATAATTTTTGAAAGTTCATTTTTATTCAAATAAATATGCACTGTACGTTCCTTTAGCACTCATAATAACTAATGATCGTCTTCATAATTCACAAGAGACTGATAACTATGACTCACCATGTTAAATTCTGCTTTTGAACAAATTAATAAAACCTAAGCCAATGATATGAATATGAAATTAAAATGATGCAAGTTTTCATAAATAATTACCTCAAAACAAGACTTGAGAATTTCAATGTTAGAAATAAAACCAGCATTTCCGATAGCTTTGAGTGCAATGATGATTTCATCTTGACGCTGGGCACTGTTCGCAGAACAAGAACCACCAAGAGGTACCTCAATCCACTTCATTAAAAGTTGAATATCTTCATTCTGCCTGCAGTCGAAATTGTTCCGACAGAACGAATGAATGGTTGAAGAGGCTGGCAACATCATTTTGCTTTTGTCAAGGGCACTGTTACTGATCAGATGCTGGAATGAAATTTCAAGTTAATTTTTCTATTCTTTTGATCTTTTTTCAGACCTCTTGTAGATTCATTCCTTGAGAGAAAAAAATTGCTCAGTTCACTTGCAGGAACGCAACTTTAAAGGGCCTAATCATATATTAGAGAATTCTTCGTGGTCTTTCAATCTATTTCTTCTGCCCTTAAAAATTGAATTTCATCGGGCAGCGCGGAACCACCTATGATTGGAGATTTGAGAAAAGAAATAACAGCAATACAAGTTTAAATAGTGTGTCATAGCCTGAGAGTTACAAACTAGAGTAAGATCATTATTTTTCAAATATGCCAGGGAGTATGCATAACAATTTTGGTATTCAATTGGAGATCATTAAATTTAATTGTTTTCACTTGTAAACTCATAATGTTCTTAAAAATAGATTCCTAACATTTTTGGTAAAATTGAAATCAAAATTTGTTCAAGTTTAATATAGATAAGAGGAGTACCTTAAATGTGATTTTTTGTAACATTTTTATTTGATGAGAGGATGATTAGGATCCTCTTACAAGGGAAACGACTCTCTATAAATTTGTAACCGTTCACAAAATGCATAATGAATTGTCGGCAGAAAACAAAAATCCCTATGAGGTACTTACCATTGATAACATTGTACGTTGATCATACCTGGCAAAGAAAACTTTAGTGGACCTTTAGATAAGGTTCGAATCTAAGCATGAGATGATGTATGTTCTCTCATCAAAATTTCAAGCAGAACACAACTGGTACACCAAAAATTACTGACAGTAACTCCTAACCGAGATATGAACGTTTTTCAATGCATGAATTTGAACTTCCTGCTCATTAAGAAATCATTAGCTGCTTGAGTTAAATCACATACTAAACTTAACCACAACAGCCTCTGCAGTAAGAAAAATGGCAATCTCAATCTGACACTTTGGCTCAGCTGTTGCACATTAACACATAACAACACAGGGCGACGAGGAAACATTGCTCAATTTACAAGCCGCGCAAAACAATTGTAGTGTGCACTTCTTACTCATGTAGACTGTGGTTTTTCTTGTGAGCTGAAAATTCAAATTTTACATGACCAATGGTGAAAAAATATGTTAAAATCTCGGTTGAGAGTCGATTTCAGTAATTTATACTGCACGAATCATCTGCACAAAAAACACACATCAGAATTCTTAAGGTCACATCTTGTCTAGAGGTCTATCAACCTTTGCTCACAATGATACTCTCATTCACAGGAGCCACAAGAATTTAATCATGCTGAAACAAAAAGCACAAAGAAAATAAAACCTACTCACGGTAAGAGTTGAAATGGTTCGGAGTGTTGGTGATTTTAAATAAGGCATCATTGAAAACACAGCATCCATTTCATTTTCTGATAAATGTCCAGAAAAGTAGAGATTGTCAATTGCTGCGAGAGATTCATCTGTTTTTACTTGAGTCAAGGCTTCAATGAGAATTTTGTGGTCGATTTCATCGGAATCGAGGCTGGAGGAAATTACCTAAAATGCAACAGATATTTATTCTAGCGATAAAATTCTTGTAACATCCTCTTATCAATTAATTTATAAAATTTAATTCTTGCAGAATATATGTTTTGCATAATAACGCCCATTAGCAGGTGGTGATGTTTTGCAAGGACATAAAATTTTTAAGTCATTGTTATTATTGATGAGCGCAGATTTCTTTTTACACCTGACAGAGAGACTGCACACATGGATAATCTTAATCTTTGGGAATGAGCAAAAACAAAATGTACAATGGAGAGAAAAATCCAGAACAAGGCTTCCATTGCCTCCAGCTGGCTGGGTAGAGTGTTTTGCTAAGGTATGACAGTGGCTTGAGGCGTTTAAGACTGTAAGCCTATGGCATTTGATTTTTTCAAACACTTTTCATGAATCTTTTCTTAAAATTTTAGTGGAGTTTTTGAACTAAAATTGAACTAACATAGAAGAAATACTGAACTTTACAGCAACAACAACTGCTGATGAGTTTAGTTAAAAAAGAAAAAAGAAATTACATTTTCAAGGCTTGCGCTATCCAATTGTTGTAATTCTGAAATGAGTTGGTTGAAGTACTGGGGAAAGTCGGATGAGATCCCATTCACAAAAGACTTTTGCAGATTTTGCAATATGTTGTTCATCCTAGAGAAAACAGTGCTCTCGTCAGATTCATCATCCATAACTTCCAGCGAGGGATCAGTAGTTTGATACTTTAAAGTGGAGAATGGTCCAATTTTATCTGAAAAATTCAAATTTCATTTAACACCCCGAGAAAAATATTTTACTCAAATGACTCAGAAAAATTACAAAACAAGTGAAGAAATTGTTCTCCTTGATTTGATAATAATTCGGTTAGATTTGCTGATTTTTGGTGACAGTAGTTGTGATTGCAGCTTGCTAATTCATGTTGGCTTTGTGTGTTGAAATTTTTACATGAAGTTGTAGTTTTGTCCCTTTTATTAATACTTCAAAACAATAATTATAAATTGTTTCAGGAATTCTAAGTTTATTTAGTAGTATGTCAAAATGAACGAGGGCGTTTGATTCATAAACCAAAGTGGCTTCATTAAAAAGTGAAAAAAACCATGTTACCTTGAGGCAATAAATGGTATCAATGCCAATGGACCATTAGACAAAGGGGTTACTCTGATATTTTTTATAATTTTAAAATCAATGTGCTCTCTATCATACATTGCTTCAATTGTGACAGACCTTGCTTTTGAAATCCCCTTAAACTTGCAAATAAACCACAAAAGAATGTCCGAGTACGAGACTTACCAGCCGGAGTGGATGGGTCAAAGTCGAGCCTCTCTCGAAAAGAGAGAGATGAAGTTATTACAGTCTTCGCTCCACTGTCTCCATTTGAAAAAGGCTGAAATAGCTGAGTTTCTGAACATTGTGCAGCCTGAATCCATCCAGATGCAGTAAAGCTCTGAAAGCACTTGTAGCCACCTCTGAAAGAAATTACACATGATAAGTCATCATTTTATCAACCAATATGTGAAGAACATTTTTAATTCTCTTAAAATTTAAAAGAAAAAATAACTAGAGCATTAGGGTTGGGGATGAGAGTCACAATGTACTTTGGTAAAAGAAAAAGAAGAAGAAAAAAATCAACTTATACAAAATAATGATTACAAATAATGAAAGAGAGAAAAGAGAAAGGGAAGAGCGAAGAACCCTCTCCTCCATACATCTGAGCACTCTTAAATTTTCTCTATTCAGTTTTTTTCCCTTTTTTTCCTAAAAAATTTTTTCAAATAGCCTATCGGCTAATCTAACCCTTATTACCCTAGCCCCAGGCGACCATTGCTAGAGAGCATCAGTCTCAGGTCACATGGCCGGGAATTGCACCCAGGACCACTTGGTCATGGGGCCAGCGCTACAACCATTACACCACAGGAGGCCGACAATACTAAAAAGTTTCCTGAAATCTTCTGCACGGTCTTCTACTATTTACTAAACTTTAGTTATCCATTGGCATTGGCTCACTGAGTACTTTTGAGCTATTAATTTTGAATCTGTCAACAGACAGTCCTTGTAGGACTGTTAAAGCATAGTATCTAAACACATCAAAGGGAAAGATGGGTATTTCTGTCAGCATCAGTCTCTCTTACAGAAACATAAAAGAAGGGGTTACAATGGGCAATGAGTTAAAAAGCAGGAAAATCCTATTATTTCACACTCGAGGGCTATATTCATAAAAGCTTTCGATTGTGATTTTCAATTAACTGTAATTTGAAAAGAGGAGTCAATGCTCAAAACTTAAAACCCTTACAGTAATAACTGGAAAGAGGCTAAAATTTTAAAAATAGGAGAAGTTCATGATTTTAGGTTAAAAACTTATGATAAAAACTGAAAGCTTCCCCTCATCTGCGCTAACCGTTAAATAAACAGTCAAGGGAAAGCTCAAAGCTTTTAGAATAAGTATTCGACTTAATAATATGTTAATTTTTACAGGAATTTTTTAAATTCAGAATCTTGCAGTACCTATTTACATTGCTGGCGAAAGAATTAAAGGATCCATAAGGACAATATAATTGTGGACTAGTAATGCCTCGAAATTCTAGGCTTTAAAGACACATGCACTCTTTTAAAATTGAAAAGATTTGAATGCAGACAATTTAAAGCTTCTTGGTATCGATGAAGATTTAGAAATTCTCATTTTTGATTGAGTAGAATTGATTACTATTCCAAAAAAGTTCTTGGAATGCTGATTGACTCAATTTGTGAGCTTTGGCTAAGAAGAATAGTAAGTACACTGAAAAACAAAAATTTAAGTTTGCCTTAAATTTATGTGATACTCCTTGTGGACCCTTAGACCATTAAAAAGGTAATCATACCTCAATAGAGTGATGGATTTTTTTAGAGGAATAGCATTTTCAGAGCGAGTAACAGCATGATTTGAGCATTTTTGTAGGTCTTTAGTTTTGACAACTGAGAAACCTGACTCCGAGCTGAACAAAGGATCATAGTACGTCTGGCAAGTTCCGAGAATATCAGTCTGAAAGAATAGATCACATTTCATTAATGTTAAGTGAACGAACATTTCAAGGCTTTTAACTCTATGACCAGTGGTTAAAACGTGGTTATTTTTTCTTCATAGGTATCTAAATATTTTAAGAATTAATACAGATGGATATGGGTGGACTCCTTTAATTTTTATCAATATAACTGGTACATAACTTTCTTATAGAAATCTTCTTAAGAAGGGAAAAACTTAATCCATGATCTAGATTGCATAAAGTTGGGGGCAAGGTGTAAAATTCTGCATTTTTATTTTTCAATTCTAACAAAATTATAGACATGAAAAACGTGGTGCACATTAAAAAACCACGCACCTCATTCCCTCACATACAGCAGCAGTAAAGGATACATTAAGGGATACTGAGAAAAGAGCTGAAATATTCCTAATTCCGGAGAGAAATTACAGTGACTTGGTTTAAAGCTATCATTTTTTGATTTGCAGTGTTGAGTTCTTTTAGAAAAAGAAATGAGTCCACTGAAAAAAAATGGAGGAACATAGATTTAAGAAAAGATACAGCAAATTCATACAGCTTGTGACTATAATTTCTTGTAATCGTCTGCTTTCCCTATTCCATGTTTGAATACATATCATCCATTTCTTTATTTTATGATTTTTTTTCTTTGTGGCCAAAATGTGAGATACTCGAGTCTTTGGTTTAGGATTGAGTCTACAAAGAATAAATTAATGTACTTCTAGAGAGAGACAGAAGATCTGCCATTAAGATTCTTGTATTTACTTTCAAAGCATAACTGAAACAACCGATCTTTTGTCACACTTTAGTAGTGCGTAAATTTATTTGGCAGACCTTAAATCAGAATAAGGCAATTGCTATTGACAATTTGATGCCATTTATGGGAAAGTAAGAGAGTATTTATCCTATATCACGTTGCTTTTTATTCCTTCTTTCCTGAATAGATAGGCTCGAAATGAGCTCTGCTCTTCCTCTTAATAAATTGTAGAATCTCTTTTAAATAACATACAAATCAATTCATGATAGGAAAAATTCATCTCTAAAAGTATAAAAATTATAGTTTTTTTTTTATCCTTCACTTCCTGAATCGGTCACATACTTCAGTAGAACAAATAAAATGAAAAACTTAAGAGAAATTGAAGGTACTAACATTTGATTACCTCATATTTCACCGTATGTTCTTGTAGATCTTCCATACTGTTCTGCATGATGGAGAGAATACCACGCTTAATGTTAAGCACCCATTCAGGCTCACCGATTGGGGGGCATATCCGTTTAATGGCCCCATCGTGACTCCAGAATCGCAGAGGGCTCCTCTCAATTGCTGCGGAGAAACCTGATCGCTCGACATTGTTCAATCTTACTCGTCTCACCTGGTCACAAGTACATCAACTTCAGTTACGAAAATTTTACAAAACAAAACTGCACAGGTTAGCTCAAAAATAACAAATCATAGCAATTTTAAGAATGATACTTGTAAAAGAGGAGTAAAATAGTGATTTTGAATATCAATTTAAGAACCTCATTATGCATGCAGGCATAGAGTACCTACATAGAATCGTAGTGAGAATGGAGAAGCTGGCACTACTTTGAAGCATTTTGCAGTCACCAAATTTCATGATTCCTGTGCGTTGCCTGCTTGCCATTTCGGTACATCAATGATTGTTTTCAATACACAGGTATCAGGCCACCCGATATTAACAAAGAGGGTATGAATTGCCCATTACGTATCCTACGTCGCCATTTTGGGTTGAAAATGTGACAAAAAGGTGACCGAATCTCAGCACACACCGGACTTGGAACCCGTCAACCAAGACATGACTCCAGCTCACATCATTATATTACGACTCTAAGTACTGTATGTACTAAAAGGCGGTACGTTTACAGATTTCAACTTGGGAGAAATTGAAATTTTGGTTGGTCATTTTATCGGGCTTGATTGATAAGGGTTTTGTACTCACTTTTCCATCAATCTCCATCGGGAAGAAAAAGTGAGTACAAAACCCCCTTGGAAGAAATTCATGTGTCTGGAGGACAAAGAGATCTTTGGATGAGAACATGCGATGCTCCCTCCACTATGGTTTGAAGCATTTGTGGTTAAAACAAGATAATGTATGGTAACAAATGTGAATCACACACTTCAAAGATAATAAGGAGAGCTAAAGATAATGACTGAATTTGAGGATGAAGCGAGTTAGGAAAGATGAAAGCTAAGGACAGCAACTGTAGTGGACAAAAAACTCACAAGCTGCACCTTAAAACGTCGACCCGCACTTTGATACACGAACGTCACGTACAGTGATTACAAGATTATTTAAAGACTTCGAAATAATTATGAAAATTATTTAGTTTTTCCTGCATGTATCTCTTTCAGGAATTTGGAATCTCCTATCTCCCTCTGGAATCTCCATACTAGAACTCGTCCTGTCCATACGTAGAAAGTGAGGTTAGAAAAGTATGTAAACAAAAACAGAACAGGAATACCAATCAGACAGGACGAGTACACACATCGGGTAAAACTTACTATTTAACTTTTTTGTGCATTGATAATTCAGGCTACCAATAAAATAATTCAATATTTATATAAGTAATTTGTTGAATTGAACGAGATGCAACTCTACCCCCAAGTCTGATATTTTCCACAGAACTGATATTAGGAATTAAGCATGGCAAGGTAAGTAGTGTTGGCATTGCTGTAAAAAAACCTTTGCCCAACGTGATTGGATAACTGCACTATTGAGTTTTTGGCGGGAACAGTTTTGATTGGGTAACTGCACCATTGAGTTTTTAGCGGGAATATTATTGATTGGATAACTGCACTATTGAGTTTTAGCGGGAACATTATTGATTGGACATTGCACTATTAAGTTTTTGGCACCAAAATTTAAATAAATAAAGAAGCGCGCCTCCCCTCCGCTCATCATCTGTGGATTCAGAGAAGCATAACAAACTTATGATGAACAATATTCCAGTGTAACGTCGCTTCGATGATATTTTTTAAGTGCGAATAAAATTATAGGATAGGTATAAAAGTTAAAACTAATAATTCGTGCTGATATTTTCAAATTTGTCCAGTAGTGTATTCAGTGCCGTGTCGATTTGGAACGTGAAGTACGAAGATAAAAGGGTTTCCAAAGGGAAATTTTGTAAATTTTTGTTTGAAAAATGACCTTACCTGAAGACTATATTCGCAGGGTGTCAAGACATGAATGTCGACAGTAGCTGAGATGTTCAATGTGGCACTTTGGCTATCAAGCTCTTCAATTCCTCCAACTTTGGAGATAGTCTCTGCGTTGTAATTATATGTGTAGTGATAGCCAACATCAAACCGAGTTTTACCGGAGTCTGAAAAAGAAAAGAAGACAGAACTGTAAGTTTTTAAAAGACGGTCAATGATAATTTTAACAAAATTTCGTCGGGGTTTTCTTCACGCTTTCGGAATATATTCTTTGGAAATTTCGTACAAAAATGTGGAGCAATATTCCCTTTGGAAAATTTAATAAGAGCGAAAATATTGAGGCACTGTTATCAGAACACGTGATTTCGATTATCAAACTGCAAAACCGGCGTACCTCGATTTTTGACGGTTTTGAGTCAGCCGTGTAAAGAGCTGTGGGAGATATTCTTTATCTATCATCCAAAATATTATACTTGAAAAAAATCGGGCAGTCACCCAAAAGCAAAATTCAATATTTAGTGCATACCTCGGCGCTAATTCTCAAAGCGCGTGCATCTCGCCAGCTTCTGTATGATTCTATTGACCAGTATCGCAATCAGTGATTTTTTTGAAATTAATACCTATATTTAGATGCTTTTAGCAAAGAAATCATAATTAAAATATTCTTCTGAACTCTTAGTCCGGTCTCTAGATTCGATTGAATTAGGCGAAAACTCGACTCAGGGCTTTGATCCTGAATTCGCGTACCTCGGGATGCGGTGTCAGTTCTTAGTGTCGAAAACGCGAATCTCAGTGTTTCTGCCGAATTGCTTGACAGATCGCAGAATTGTTCCAAATGATGATGAAATCTTAAAAAATGACTTATCTTAGCTATGTCATTAAGGATTATTTTCCCTTTGCTAACAATGATGAGGTACGCCGACGGTTCTTTACTTTTCGGAAAAATCCTATTTTCCGAGGTACGCACCGTTGTAATGTAGTTTCACCGTCAATTTCCTCCATCGTCATGGACTTATTTAGTGGCTACGTCATTCAATAAGTATATTGCCGTTGAGGTGCGCCGCTCTCAAAAAGCGATATCAAAACAGTCAATTTACTTGTGGACAGAGCCATTGAATGTATCGCATATCAAATAGTCATCCAATGGAGATGTTGCATGTGTGAGGAATTTGCGATTTGACTGCTGATTCTCATGTAAAAGTTCGCGAGAAACACGATGGTTTTCTCTGAAATCAACTCCCAAGCTCAAAAAAGCTCTCAAGTTGAGGCCAAAATGGAGGGGATATCCCACCCTACCCTGAGAGTCCACCTCTACACTAAGACAAACTCTCCATGCAAAGATAGGGAGCAAATACATTGACAGGACTGCAACTTCATTTGGGGACTCTAAAACTGAGAACACGGCATCACTGCTAATGTATTTTCTCCCTATCTTTGCATGGAGAGTTTGTCCTGATGTAGAGGTGGACTCTCAGGATAGCGTGGGATATCTCCTCCATTTTGGCCTCAACTTCAGAGCTTTTTTTGAGCTTGGGAGTAAATTTCAGAGAAAACCAGTGGCATCATCGTGTTTCTCGCGAACTTTTACGTAAGAATCAATAGTCAAATCGCAAATTTCTCACACATGCAACATCTCCATAGCCACTGTCACACGTTCTTTCCCAACTGCACAATCTGACACACATACTGCCCATCTCGACGAACTGCTCTCGTCACAACAGCTGTAAGTCCAAGGGTAATGCATTCCAAAAATAAGAATGCCTACATGATGAGAGCGAGAACTGTTAAGTTTTCAAATCGATTGATTAAAATTACTTTTCAAAGAGATCACTGGAGTCTCTGATCTCAACCGTGTTGCTAAAAGTTGCTACTCACTACTAGGATATTGAAGAATACATTTAATGAGAGTGACTAAGCTGTAAACTGTGTGATGTGGAGTTGTTTCCCTGCTCGTATAGGCAGTGGGTAGTGGTGCTTGATAAGATTCGTCAGACACTTTGGTTGCGTATTCGTTCAGCTTGAGACGAAAAAGATCGACATGAAAAAAGAAAAGGAGAAATGCTCCGCGTAAAATCAGTTGACCTTGATCATCGGGTCATCAGCCTCACGCAAAGGCAGTCGAAACTCATCGCGCTGAAACGCATTCATTCAGTTCCTTTGCCGCCTTTTCGTGCGCTGAATTTCTCTTCAGCTTATTTATTTGCGAGTTTTCTGATGATCTCAGATTTGAAAAAAAATTTGTTGAGCGACGAAGAGTTTCATTTTTGCGTTATGACTGCGTAATAGATAGAAACTGCCGATTGCTTTTAAAAATTAATTCTGGGATTAGTCTCCTGTGTGTGCTTGATCTGAATGGGTCGCGCATCATACTCCGGATTCATGATTTAGGCGTCTATTATATCAAACCACATACTTAATTTCCCTCCTAAATTGCTTCTCCTTACGTAAGAATCAATAGTCAAATCGCAAATTCCTCACACATGCAACATCTCCATTCTTAAGATAATGAATGAAGCCATTCAATAAATGTTGAATTTGGTAAATGTCAATCAATTCATTATCTTAAGTTAAGTAGAATTCCTAACGAGTAGAAAAGAAAAAAAAGGATCCCTTTTTTTTCTTCTGACAAATGCGAACTCAGTTATTTGAAGATTTCACAGAATGCCACGAGCGAGATAAAAAAGAGCGATAAAAATTCCAAGAAATGCATTGTTTTACTCTTTAAAAATTAAATTGTGACAGAAAATTTGCTGCGTCGCAAGTCGAGATGCGAGCTACCGTATTTTTACAATAGAAATGCAAACTCGAAGAGCATGCGCTCTAATTTTAAATATAAAGAGCATGCATGTCTCAGCGTGATCTATTTGCAGGTGTTGCCTTATGTTTTGATACGCGCAGTGCGCGTATCACATAGCATAATCTTTTTTTTTTTTTGAGAGCACTAACACGTTCGGCGCTATCTTTGAAAAAGCAGAGAAGAAGCCCTTGCAGTATAGATGAAATATTTGAAGTAAATCTAGCATAGTAGAAAAGTTGCATATGTAAGCAATGCATGCTTTCAGCAGACATTAAAGTTATGACCTTGCCAGCTCTTTTATTGAAAGTCACCGAAAGGAAAAAAAACCGGACCACACAGCGGCGAAAAATGTAGACATGCCAGAAACGCCTTGCACGAAAATGAGAGAAAATTTACATTGGAAGCAGTGTTTTGATTCTCCGCTTGCCAGACTGATTTTTTAAAACTTCCACGGAAACTGACAGCAGATGTTGCAAAATCTAACGTTGAAATGCACACGACGATCGAAGTTTTCAAAGTTAATACGTCAAATTTGGCAACTCGAGACTAGAATCCTAGCTATGTGAGGATTGTAATAGAGAGATAAGAGCTTGCGGCTTCGATAAAAGCACTCAAGCTGCGTCATCCAGAAATAGCTTACCCCTCTCGGATCCATAATCATAAGTTCAAAGGTGCCTTTTCACTCAGCAGAAGCATCGTCTCAAAAAGCGACACGAATATGCTTTGGATTCCAATCAGTGTTCCCGGGTGCTCCGTGTGCGAGATCCCTACGCTCTACCGCTTTTCGCGCTGCTATTGGCTACTTCGTCAATCTGTGACGTCAGGCCTATAGAGTACCTATATTGAGAGAGTATGGCCACTGGGCGCCATGGAGAGGCTTAGGACCCAAAAATGGCGGTGCTTTGTTTTCCCATTAGTTTTTGGGCCGTGCGCAGTCCGTGTCGGCACATGGAAGATACGCACGGCACGGATATATCCGCACAGTTGGGATCACTGATTCTCTTTGTAAAAAACTACAGGCCTATATTATTCCACTAGTGGTGCGACTCTCGCACCGCAAACACTACACTAACGTCTCTTCGGAGCAAGTCACTTTTAAGGGGCTTGTCCCCAACTCAAGTAGAACACCCTAATCCTTTGAAGGTGGTGTCAGGCAAACAAACGCCAAAAAAAAAAAAAAAATATTACTGCATAGCAAATAGCACAGCTGTCAAACATCTCTCGATGTATGTGTAAGGTTACGGATATTCTTTCTAGGGATTTGCTTCCAGTGACCCTGCGTGCGTGAGGCGTGGGAGGCAGCTCCCCTCCCCTCCCCTCCCCTTTTAGCTCCCATTTCTCCAATTTCTGAGGATTTGTTGTAAAGTTGATATTTTACCATGAAAATAACCGAAAATTACGTTCCACGAGTGTCTAATTTCCAAACATTTTCCTGTGGAGAATCCACTCGGCTGCTGGGGAAACCCCCGCCCCCCCCCAGATCTCTCCTCTCATTTTCCCCAATTCCGAATCTCCCCTCCCTAAATTTTAATCTATCCTCCACTTCTGAGTGCCAAAAGGGTATATCCTCGTTAAAAAAATTAAAAGGAACCATTAAAAAACAGAGGTGTCTTGAAAGTTACAGATTTAGGGCCTTGGGCGTTCAATTTTGGGAGGAACGTAGAAAGTAGGAGGAAACTATATATGGACTATATTTTGCGATTCGGAATTTCAATATCTGGCTCATAAGTAAAAACTTTGTTTCTAAACTGAGCCAGAAATTGTAGTTCCTAATTGCAAAATGCATTCGAAATATCAATGGTGAAACTTGAGAGGGGCATATCTAGGTTTGCGATGTTGTAGACTTCCTGATATATTTTATTTTCTGCGTGGAAAGCAAGACAACGTCGTTCTTTGAAAATTTCTCCGCTTTTTTTTGAAATCACACACTGAATCAATCTAGATTTTTGACATGATAACTTTAACACACATCAAAACCACCTGAAGGCATTACATGAGTAATCTACTAAAAGAAAAAATGGGGGGCTTGGAGTTGTAAGGCGCATAAGTGTAGTTTTTGCTATTGCGAGGGACACGTGTTTGAAGTTTCGAAATTACATGGATCCTTATGGCGGAAAAAAAGTTAAAACTGACTTTTGGATGCTTAAAAATTGGAGTTTGAGAGTGAATTTTTCACAGAATCTGAATTCAGACCAGTTTTACTTGAAATCATTCATATCTCAATTTTTTAAAAAACTGCACTGATGCTCCTTGTCCTCCAGGCCCCTCAAATATCCTTACCTCTGCAATAAGCGGCACACTGCTCTGTTGGGTAAGCTGCAGTAAGCCCTGAAACATAAAAATTAGCAAGTGTAAGTTCAGTGAACATGTTAAACATAATCGGAAAAATATTAAGGGGGTAATTATGGGAGTACTTATGGAGACGCTCTTGATTAGGCGAGGACTCGAGGAGAGATCATTGTAGTTGTAGAACTACAAAGATCTCTCCTCGCCTTGACCGAGCGACTGCCCCGGTTGTGGCTGCCAAAGGCTTATTTCTTGGAATTTTTGAGTGTTTTTTGCTCCTAAGATGTAAAATCCACCCATCTCAGTTCCGGTATAGCTTTGTATCTTATTTTTTTTCTCCCCCCTACGTAAGGCAAAGACACATTTTGCCCTATTGCATCCAAATTGTTGTATCATGTCAATTGTCCACAATATGATTTTACACTAGCTGAATAATATCATAAGACTCAGAAAGCCATCTCTTGTACAGAATTCCATTTTTTCACGGAGAAATACATTGTATGACCTTTAATCTTCAAACGGCCCTGCTCTTGGGAAAAGATGTACACCTCAGCTGCCGGATGGACTTTAAAAATAGATTTTGTAGTTAAATTTTGTATTTTAATTTGATAATCAATTATCTACGCTCCACGCTGCACGCATTATTGGAGTAGATTAGTCAAAATCACGTGAGAGCCATCGTAGAGTTTATCAGGCGTCGAGGATTTGTCTACGCATCGGAATACTCAAAATTGAAGTAAATACCCAGAGACTGGGATGGAACGGTGATGAACTGAGATTAATTAGGAAAACTTGGATATGCCAAGGTTATTCAATCAGAGCTAATTCATGAATTATGTGTCCACGTCATGAGACTGGAAGCAATAATAGTCTAATCATGGTGACATTTAACCTGCACCTATGTGAATCAACAGTCTCTTATCATGAGAAACAAAATTTCCCGGATTGAATGGGCGAAAACTAGAGGGCATATGCCCCCTGGCCGCTACTCGGCCCGACTTCCAGTGGTATTGCTTCGCGCCTTCAAAAACCCGTTTTGCGAACCCCCAAGGGTGAATCTAAATTGAGCGTGCTCATTTTGGGACTTCCTCCCATCGATAGCCATAAAAATTATACAAACACGGCAACCCTGCTAATGTATTTGCTTCCTATCTTTGCATGGAGAGTTTGTCTTGGTGTAGAGGTGGACTCTCAGGGTAGGGTGGGATATCCCCTCCATTTTGGCCTCAACTTGAGAGCTTTTTTTGAGCTTGGGAGATGATTTCAGAGAAAACCAGTGGCATCATCGTGTTTCTCGCGAACTTTTACATAAGAATCAATGATCAAATCGCAATCCCTCGCACATGCAGCATCTCCATTAATTATGATGCAGTCTTTTCTTTTTTCCGAGGAAATGGATTTTCGTGAACTAGGGGTGCCCATAAGGGTTGAGCCTCGCGGCAGTCAGGGGGCCTGTTCCTGTGGATAAAGTCTTCATTACAGCTGCTAGCTTTGGGCGGAGCAAGCGCCAAATTGTTCCTTTCCCTCTATTTCAAATGCAATTCATTCAAATTACCAAGCCTGCCTCTAATTTTAAGTCTAACAGAGCCGGAAGTTTTGTAGATCCTGAGTCGCGCTCATTTAACGAGCCAAGCGTACGGAGCCATCAATCCACGTTGGCCACTGCAATTTATCAAAGCAGCGAACGAGCTTGCACTGGCGATGAGCTCCAAAGGCAGTGACAAGACAAAAGGATACAGATAAATGCCTGTCACCTCGAGTTTCGGCTACTCAACACAAGGGGCATGGACCTCTTAAAAAAAGACGGTGCTTGCATCTCAAGATAAAACTTCGTATTTGTGACTGGAAGAGTTTTATAATAGACCACTAAAGATGGATATTTTTCGATTAGATTCCCCTCCATAATAGTTCAAGTCACTCCACTTGGAGAATAGATTTCGCTCCGCATTCATATCACTCGAGGTTTTTGGGCGCTATATCGTCACCTCCCGGCCAAAGTAACACAAGCGCCATGCGACGTTTAAAAATTTCCGCCCCCATTTTATTTTTTCACAGAGAAATTTTTGGTTGAATCTGTTCGAAAATTTCACTGAATTTTATCGGCAGCACTAAGAGAATCCAGTGAAATTTTCGGCCAGCTTCGTTGAACAATTTCTCTGTAAAAAAATAAAATGGTGGCGGCAATGACTAAACGTCGCATGGCGCTTGCGATACTTTGGCCAGAAGGTGACGATATATGGACTCCAGCACAGAATTCCACTCCAAATATTTAACTATGTAAAAATTGCCCAAAAAAGCATGCTCTAAAATTCATACATAGGTTGTCCCAAAAGTACTGCACGTTTTTTTTTTTTTGGACGAACGATAGCAGATATCAAAATGCAGTTTGTGTATAGTCCTAAAGACCGAGCAATTGCCAATAAAACAAGACAAATCCGAGCTCTCTAAGTCAAAAAATGACTAAGTTACAGTGTTTTGAAAATGACTTGTAGAGGTGGCCCCTCCAGGATTTTTAGCTTCTTTTCTGGAAAAAAAACACGAGGAGGGAGGGGGAGGGGGTTAATGAGTTTTGTATGTGTGTGTAAAGATGAATGTTTAATGTATGCAATTTTTCTTCTTTCTCTCTTTTAAAGTACGCTGATAAAAGAGCGTTGAACTTAAACGAGAGCTTTTTAAGCCGGGCCAAAATCGGCAACGAGCGAGTTGAAGTGGATGATTCAATCAAGGAATTAGAGTCGGGAGCACGGGCGGACCGGGGG